GGTGAAACGTGGAAGAATTTGCGCACCAAATTGACACCGACTTTTACGTCTGGCAAAATCAAGCAAATGTTTCCCATTGTGAACCAATGCGGCGTGGAACTTGGCGATTGCGTCGAGAAGGTTTTGAAAATTGACGAAACTGTGGAAATTAAGGATATCGTGGCGAGGTATGTATTATTCGAGGCGATTCAATAATTTGTACAGTAGTTCTTCTAGTATCGTCTGATAATTATAAGAAGTGTGACGAATTTCTGCACAGATATACCACTGACGTCATATCGAACGTGGCTTTCGGTTTGGAAACCAACAGCTTGAAGGAACCGAACAACGAATTCCGAAGATGTGGGCAATTGGTATTCGCATCTAGACCATTGATGTCTATGTTATCTTTTTTTATGCCGAGTCTTTTGCGCATATTGAAGATGTCAGTTACGGACATACGAGTTATCAATTTTTTCACAAAAGTATTTAGTGATACAGTCAATTACAGGAAGCAAAATAACATTAAGCGGCACGACATGTTGAACATGCTGATGCAGTTGATGGACAAAGGATACGTTGAAACTGACGACGCGAACGAAATTCCCAAAGGGAAAGGTAAGAGAGTTGTCTTTATCATTTTCTTTATAATTAGAACTTATTGTAACTTTGTTTAGTAACTCAGTTTGATACAGCAGTAAACGATAGCAAGAAGCTGGAAATGACGGAAGCTACGGCCCAGGCCTTTGTCTTCTTTATAGCTGGTTTTGAGACTTCCTCGTCTACCGTGACGTACTGCATTTTCGAAATGGCCTGTCACCCAGAGATTCAAGAGAAGGTTTACATAGACATAGACCAAGCATTGAAGAAACATGGCGGCCTGACGTACGACAGTTTGGCAGAGATGGAATATCTTTCCCAGGCAGTAGACGGTTGGTCCTTGAATCTAGGATTGGGAAGATATTCATTTTTCGAATTTTTAATTTACTTTAATTTTTTTTTCTTTTTTATAGAAACTTTGCGGTTATATCCCTCAGTTCCGATACTGAATCGAGAATGCACCAGGGAATACGATGTGCCTGGAACCAACTTGCACATTTCAAAAGGAGATGCAATAGTCATTCCAGTTTTGTGGAAATTAAGGATATCGTGGCGAGGTATGTATTATTCGAGGCGATTCAGTAATTTGTACAGCTGTTATTCTAGTATCGTCTGATAATTATAAGAAGTGTGACGAATTTCTGCACAGATATACCACTGACGTCATATCGAGCGTGGCTTTCGGTTTGGAAACCAACAGCTTGAAGGAACCGAACAACGAATTCCGAAGATGTGGGCAATTGGTATTCTCATCAAGACCACTGACGACTTTGTTATCCCTTTTTATGCCGAGTCTTTTGCGCATATTGAAGCTGCCAAAGCATCGACAATCCCCGTACTTTGGCATGTTTATATCAATTAATCCAGCCTTGGTGATCAATGATCCTGAGATCATTCGTCACGTCCTGACGAAGGACTTTTCCCATTTCCACGACAGAGGAATATATGTGGATGAGAAAGTTGATCCACTTTCCGGACATTTGTTTAGCCTTCCCGGTGAGAAATGGAAGAATTTGCGCACCAAATTGACACCGACTTTTACGTCTGGCAAAATCAAGCAAATGTTTCCCATTGTGAACCAATGCGGCGTGGAACTTGGCGATTGCGTCGAGAAGGTTTTGAAAATTGACGAAACTGTGGAAATTAAGGATATCGTGGCGAGGTATGTATTATTCGAGGCGATTCAATAATTTGTACAGTAGTTCTTCTAGTATCGTCTGATAATTATAAGAAGTGTGACGAATTTCTGCACAGATATACCACTGACGTCATATCGAACGTGGCTTTCGGTTTGGAAACCAACAGCTTGAAGGAACCGAACAACGAATTCCGAAGATGTGGGCAATTGGTATTCGCATCTAGACCATTGATGGCTATGTTATCTTTTTTTATGCCGAGTCTTTTGCGCATATTGAAGCTGCCACATACAGACACACGAGTTACCAATTTTTTCACAAAAGTATTTAGTGATACAGTCAATTACAGGAAGCAAAATAACATTAAGCGGCACGACATGTTGAACATGCTGATGCAGTTGATGGACAAAGGATACGTTGAAACTGACGACGCGAACGAAATTCCCAAAGGGAAAGGTAAGAGAGTTGTCTTTATCATTTTCTTTATAATTAGAACTTATTGTAACTTTGTTTAGTAACTCAGTTTGATACAGCAGTAAACGATAGCAAGAAGCTGGAAATGACGGAAGCTACGGCCCAGGCCTTTGTCTTCTTTATAGCTGGTTTTGAGACTTCCTCGTCTACCGTGACGTACTGCATTTTCGAAATGGCCTGTCACCCAGAGATTCAAGAGAAGGTTTACATAGACATAGACCAAGCATTGAAGAAACATGGCGGCCTGACGTACGACAGTTTGGCAGAGATGGAATATCTTTCCCAGGCAGTAGACGGTTGGTCCTTGAATCTTGAATTACGAAGATATTCATTTTTCGAATTTTTAATATACTTCCTTTTTTTTCGTTTCTATAGAAACTTTGCGGTTATATCCCACACTTCCGATACTGAATCGAGAATGCACCAGGGAATACGATGTGCCTGGAACCAACTTGCACATTTCAAAAGGAGATGCAATAGTCATTCCAGTTTCGGGTATTCATAAGGATCCTAATATATATCCTGATCCCGAGAAATTCGATCCTGAACGTTTTAGTAAGGAAAATAAAGGAAAGATTCACTCACACGCTTATCTTCCGTTTGGCGAAGGACCAAGGATATGCATTGGTGCGTGGCGAAAATATCAAATTTTTTCAAGAACTGTTTTCCTTCCTAAAATATTAACTGTTCTTTGTTATTTTTCAGGCAAAAGATTCGGCTTGATTCAAGCGAAAGTAGCCTTGGTCAGTTTACTGTCTCGATTTCGATTTTCCACAAACTCAAAAACGGAAATTCCAGTGAAGCACAGTCCTGGAACTATTGTAATGTGTCCAGATCACGGAGTAAATCTGCGGGTCGAAATGCGATAAAGGATGGTAACCTTACCTAACCTCCGACAACTTGATCATAATGGCACCGTGGATAAACCTTTGCCAAGTTAAATGTCATTAGTGAAGATGTCATTAATTAAATGCAGAATAACGAGTGTTTTGTAATCTCAATAAAAATATATTCGCAGACTTTGGTCTAAGTTGATGAAATTCTTATTGAAAATTGTACACGATAACACACGTGAAACTTTTCTAAAAATTTCCTATCCAATTGGTGCTTCGTCGTTTACGTGAAACGAATTGATAGTAATTTGACAGGTGGGAGTTGACATCAGTGTGTGATTGTCAATGGGTCATTTAGTTGCAGAAGAATGAAATGCAGTCCGATAGAAACGTGCTGTTATGAATTAGTTACTTTGTGCATAATTTGCCGTGATAATAACCATATTATTGTTCCACGAGTAATACAGCCGAGTAATGCTGAGAAGTCAGCCGCGTCCTTATCGTCGGCCTAGTAGAATAAAATGTTCTTTAAGCATGACTCGTCACTATATGCGAATTGACGTCCCGTATCAGCCAGTAAGTAATCTCAAGTTATGAAAATACTCGTATGAGCAAAGTTATGATAGCTGAATAACATATATAACTGATAACATTATCACTCCTCAGAACGTTTCAGCATTCTTATCGAATTTGAATGCAAACAAATATGGTTCTAGGTTAAGAAAAATTTCTTATTTCAGTTGCGTTTAAGGGGACAAAACAGTGATCGATCAGTCGTCTCGTGCCAAACTGCCCGAACTGCCAAGTGTTGCCAGCAGTCAATTATTTATAAAAACGAAAAACATTCGTAGCTTGGTTTCAAGTATTGCTTAAATAATAATAACAACTACCGAAAAGTATCATATTACGTTTATTACGATAACATGAAAAAAGCGAGATACGTGAAGCTTATTAACTATAACTATGGTAGACATCGCATTAATTCTAAAGTCGACTATTACTGTTATTCCTGAGCGGCATAACATTTATAAAATTCATATTTTTCTGATAACGCATGTCAACATCTTCGCATTCTTATAAGTATTATTAATACTCTCTACTCTAGACTCTAAATAGAAGCACTGCTATGGGCGTAGCGTTAATTCGCGAAACTTTCATTAAATATTTGGTCAATAAACTTAATTTGATTTTTGGGTTATTTTTAAGAATTGGCTCTCGTAAACTGTACTAAATTGGTATTAACAATAGAAAAAATCCAGTATCGAACAGGACTGGTAACTGATGACAACACGAAATTGTTCTTAAGTAAAAATCATAATAAATAATTTTGTATTGCTATTAATAATCGCGTTGCTATTACGAATCACATTTATTCAATATAGAGATCAGATCTCAATCTTATTGTCAAGCACGACAGGAGCTTCGTTCCAAATCGAGTTGCTCCCTAGGTGTTTTAAGTAATTTGAATATTTCTTTTTTACCAGTTATAAAAAGATTTATCATTCATTTTCCTGCTTGGCGCTCGAGCACGAGAGGCAACAGGATTTCTGATAGAATGGATAAGCACATAGTCGAGCCTGCATGACGAGGTTGCAATTTGGAAAATTATCCTTGCACAATGGATTCTCATCCAGACCTGTAAAAAGGACCAGTTAGTGAATGAAATTTAAATTAATTAAACAAAACAATCTGACCGTTCGATATCTCCGGATCGTTCTGAACTTGCATCACCCTGTGCGAATTTTCAACCCCGTACGTGTCCTGATTGCTTTTGCAAGGATACTCGTTGCAAGCTCTGCGCGCTGCAGGACGTTCGTTTTCCGTACAGGATGCATGATCTTGCTCGAACGTTTGTCCGTTTACCGACAGACATTTCACTTCCCTCTTCTGCATCCCTTTGCCACAGGATCTTGAACACTGGAGGAACAAAGCGAATACGTAAATACAATAAGTTACTCCGACGAGTGTTGATCAGCCCCCACCTGTGTCCAGTCCGACGTGAACCAGGATGGAGCACAAGGTGGTCCTCTGCAGGGTTTCTTCAGCTCAGGTTTGCTCGCAGGACAATTCATGTCCAATACAACCCTTAGTGATCCACGCAACATTGTCACACACGCAACCTCCCTTGTTTGTTCACCCAAGTCACAAGTCGAAGAACACTGTAGGAAAAAGGGTTGTGTTTATTCACGATCTTATTACCATGACTAAGTCTCTATCGATTTACAGAACCTGGGTCCAGGGTCCTGCGAACCATTGACCGCTGCAGGCCCTGTCGCTCGAGCACGTTCTCGTAGTATCAGGACGATTCGATTCGTCGCAGGATTCGTTTCTGCTCGAAGTTCCGCAAAAGACTCTCCTGGTCTGTATCCCAGTGCCGCATTCCGCAGAGCACTAAAAACGAAGCAAAGCCTCTAGCAAGACTGGATTCTCACGATTACGACAATATCTACCTTCCGGGACCATTCGGTGAACAGCCATTGGGGCCCATGAAAACCTGAAGAAATTACGTTGCTCGCTGTTGACTTAGTCAAACATGGTCCAGGGTCGCAAGACTCTTGGGCGTCCGGTTTATCATCCATGGAACAAGGACGCCCTGAAGTAATGCAGGTGATTACTCTGTTACGCGTTCCGAGACCGCAGGTCGTCGAGCACTGAAATAAGGATGAGAAATTTCATGGAAGCTCCAGAAAGAGGGACAGTAGGATGGCAAAATACCGAAGACCATCCTCCGACGCTCCAATATGGCGACGGAAGATTCGACTGAGCGATTTTCCCACGCTCGTCGCACTCTGGCATCGTGCAGCTTTCGCTCGTTGGAAGAGTTTTTGGGTCTAGGCAAGCACCGTCGGCTACCCGGATCGTCAGCACGGAATTGACTTCCTGGACGCATTCCAATTCACGTTTACGTATACCGCTCCCGCAACTAACGGAGCATTCGCTCCAGGGTCCACTGCGCCATCTGAACGGATAGAAAAATAATATAATTTTGGAATAATCATTCTTCATTACTCTCGCATATCGAACTCACTTTGCCGGGCATGGCTTGATGTTGCACTTTACACCAGAAGAGGTTGGCTTCTCCAAAGCGTGACATCTTTTCTCGAGCACCTGTACCTGAGTCAGTTCACGGACGCAGATGTATTTTATGCTCTGAACACCTAGACGCAATGAAGACGGTTCATCGTCCGCGTTTCTTAGCCTGGTAAAAAGTTCATCGAAGAATTCCTTACCTCCGCCACATGATTTACTGCACTCCGTCAACCCGCTTGCTTTCCAGACGAACTTCCTCTTTCGGAACCTCCTCGGTGGCGCTGGAGGCTCATCGTGGACCATCGGACTACCTGGCTCTGCCCTGTAACGGTGGAAGCTATCTTGAGCTAAAACAGTCTGTTCGACTGAACGAAGTACGCGGAGTGGAAATTTTCGTTAAGGTCAAAAGAGCAATTCCACTTTGATGAGCTTCTTAAAAATTTTCAAAGCATTGTCCGGGTGTGACATCGCTTTTACTCACTTTCTCTGATGAGGACCTGGCGGCGTGAAGTCGGAAGTCTTTCCCAGGGCTGTAACAGGAAGAGGGTCTCGATAAAGTCGCGTGACAATTAATGCAATTCCTTGCAACTTTCAGGTTAGGTACCTATTTACCTGCGCCGTAGGTCGCTCGAGAATTCGGCTGCAATGGATTCGGACCATGTGGCATTACGTAACGGTAGACGATTCCAGGGTTCGGTTCTTGGTACAGGACCTAAACGGATGGAGAATAATGCAATGGAACCAGGCTAGCAGATCAGATTTATTATTGGATCCGGTTGATGCATCCAACGCGTCATTGACTGCAATGCTAGAAATTCAGCCTGCGCAGTATTGACTGTATGCAATTCTCTGCAATTCTATGCGATGCCGATTTGATTTTAACCAGAGTCTAACCCACTTACTCAATGATACACAGCCAATAGATAGATAGATGGAAATGCTAATACCGGCAGTTTCCAAGGGGCCAATAAACCTTCCGATAGCCTAGTGGATTGGCTGCATTAAATGCATCGCGTCCTTAGCCGCATGCGCGCAGGCGCCTATGCGAATAAAACGACTTCTGGTCCATGCAGATTTAACATGGCTCGCTAAACAAAGATGCATCGCTCTCTCAGCGGCTTCGCTGGAAATTATGATGCATTTCCAAGACGAGTATCGCGGCTCGTTGCATAACTTGCTGAATGGATCCACGTGTGTCTGGTAGAAGACAGGCTCGAGGAATTTGAGATATCGATCGATCGTACGTGAAGCGAGCGATTTATAGGATCTAACAGCGTCCCTCGCGTGCGTTTAACGTACTTGCTAACGAGTTCCACTCTAATTGGGAGTATTCGTTATCAGATAATCGACCACCCGCATTCGTATGTTATTTTATCTCGAGTATCTACGATTCTAGAACATTCACTTTGGCTGGCTGCGACGCCACTCTTTCTACTTGTCAATTTCCTTGTTACGTCTCTGGAAGATTTGCACTTTCCATTCGTCCTGGTTTCTCCACGAGAGAAGCTTTGATCATTTATTTACCATAACGTCAATAGGCTCGGTCAATGGTCCAGCTGCTGCGAAACTCTCCAAGTGCTGGGAACTTTGTCGCAAGTAGACAAAAGTCGTGCCGGCTGCCTCGTACTCGCCAGACCAATTGATGTTGTAGTTACCATTGATAAGGAAGCTGCCGTCCCTTAGCCTTATGGCTGGAACAATTATTACACGAATGACGAATATTTTCAAGGAAAAAATGTGTTTACTCAAAAAAAAAAATTCAAAAAAATTGCAAAATTCTCATTGGCAAAATTCCGTCGACTTCGTGCGATCGCTTGAACGTTAAATATCAACTTGACGAGGAATTAATGCATTTCCCTGAATCCGCATGTAAGCGACAGTGACGTCCATGAGTTCGTTAATCTCGTTAATCCGGCGCGTTAAGAGGACTGAAACGACAGGTAAAGTAAGTGGCTGGCCGTTAGAGGCGCCGATCGATTTGCATATTGCATCGGTGCGTGCGATTAAAGGAGGCTTGGCCGGTCGCCCGAGAACGTGCCGTTCGCTTCACTATTTCTTATTTACTCCCGAGCTATTTGCCTTATCTTGTCGAGCAAGACGCGTTTTCAATCGGTTCGAACGACTGTCGCCCAGGACACTGTCGAAACTCCAGACGCATAACTCAGCATTGCTGCACCGTGTTCTCGAACAAAGTGCCACAAGCTCCCTTTATTATTTTCATGCTCAGCCAAGCAGCGTGGATCGCACGTCGATATCGCGCCTTAAGGGTGACCCACAATTATAATACCATAGCCTGGGTTAATTGTCCGTGAAGCGATCGAATAAGTATGTCGATCGCTTTTACAAGGAAGAGTATACGATCGGAGAGGAAAAACTTAAACAGACCTCAACCGTACCTTATTGGTCGTTACTATAGAAACTCGTAATTTTCTATCGCGAAGCTTAAAGGCGCCCTACCAACTAACCCAGCGGCACGTCGAACCGACCGGTGGGCGTTGACCAATGAAATTGACGAATGGGCAGTTACGACGGTTGCCGCTACGTTAATTCCGTCAATGCGTCTTACATTGAGAGCAATTGCTAACGGTGCATACGCAACGCACTACTTCGAGCTGTAGGAAGCACGTACAACGTCGAGGTCGCTCGAGAGGGAGAGACCAAGGAGTAACCGGCCAAGTGGCCGACTGACCGCCCGTAGAGCTTTCGTAAGCGTAACCTCGCTGATTTCTTGGGCATTCGCCTTTATTTATCGCCCACTTAGGATCCGCGGTGTCGTTAACGAAGCAATTCACTATCCACGTAATATAACGGCTACTCGTTTCAGAGCGGCGCCTTTATCTTGGCAAGTCGCACTCAGCTACGCATAAGACCCGAACGCGAGTGAGACTTTGGGTTGATGCACACCGAGCGACGTATCAGGGAGATCGACCGGTAGCGCAGTGAATCCTTTGGATGAATTTACGAAATTTCTTAAGATCGAAAAAAAAGATTCCGGTAACCGGATGTTTCTCGAACAAGCTCAGCACGTGAGAGGAAACCCATAATGGGCAGGGTCAGTCCGGATTATCGGGATCATTTTTAGCAGTGACTGTAGGAGCAGGTCGTAAAATTTGCTCCTTTCTGACAGGTGCTGTCGGGTAGGTCAGTGTCGTTCATAAATTTGACCAAAGATTCATTGAGGTCGGAACGATCCTTGTCGATCGCGCAGATTTACGCAGGGCTTGTCAACGTTATTTAAACGCACGCGGAAAGCACTCACGGATACACATATTGTAATCATAATGGTACAGGCATATTTAAAATTTATAGCTTGTCGTCTGCTAGGCTCAGCAGCTGCAGCATCTTCTTGCAATTTTCAATTCTGCAACCTGACTTTGGCTACAGCGTATCGAGATGGAGTGACGCAAGGTGGCGGCTTATGTGCTTTACCGAGATAGTTTTGCGTGTGACGTAGTTCCGTTACGTTCAGTGCGGAAGCTCCGCGCGGAATGGTCGCCACCAAATTGTATCCAGGCTCCAATCTCGGCTCCGTGAAAATTCCATCGATCAGACGTCCAGTCCCAATCGTCATTAGATTCTGCAACAAGTAATGTCGTTACTCATGAGGACTGTCGTCTTATGGGTTTCTTGATGCTGGAATTAATTCTTTTATTCGATACTTGTCGATCAGCCCATTGGACGAGAAGCTTGACACGTGATACGCGGGTACTCGTAAAATTTCTTTAAACCGGATCTTCTCCACTGGGGAATTCAGGATCTTAATTTTTGGTTTATTGTAGTTTCGATGCTGCCAATAAACATTATCCTCTGGTGTATCGAACTGATTCGAAGTTTGACTTGCTTACACGTGCGTTTGCCGGATTCATTTTTGTATGGGGCGAAATTCATACGCGTGCTTATGGTTTTAAATAGGAGGAAAAGATTCTTTTGCCAATTGGCGAAGCTATCGCATGACAGCTGTCAAAGAGGACCGTCCCGTGGAAGCTGGATAGCTTTTTTTTTAGTATCTACCAAACAGAGATATATCGTAAAGTACAGAATAAATTGTTGCCCGGGGAATATACAGCCGCTGAAAAGAAATTTGGTAAAGCCTCCGACGAAAAGTAAGGACGTGAGGTGCATTTAAAATGCATCGTAGGCTCTGACTCTTGATACGTATACTAAAATGAAGTGTATGCTAATGCAAGTCCATGAATTAAACCGAATGGTCGAATAAAGTTGAATTTACGCGAGCATTATCGCACGTCGTCTCAGTCAGGCTAATCCGAAATAAATATACGAGGCAGGAATGTCCGCGCGACGCTGGAACGAAAGTAAAGTGCAACTCGGTTAATTCTTTCGTTTATTCTCATGGCAGCTGGATCTCGTGGCAGTGTCCTTCTTTTTATAAATTCTACGTATTTCAGTGACGCGAAACAATTTTTTCCCCGTTTTACTGAAATTGTATATAGTCAGGTCGAGAAAAATAAATTCTGTATACGGAGTCGAGGACCTCATTAATTGTTCAAGCTTTAAAGCCAAAGTGCCCCATCCGGAAAAGTATACAACTTACACCCACGTACTAAGAATAATTGCACTGCAATTCGTGTTTTCACGCGAAACAGTCAATAGAAATAACTAAGGAAATACGCGAAATGACCAACAGTTACGTACGTGCATTCATGCATTGGAGACACATAAACAATAAGAGAACACTCGTTAGGCCATTTTTGTAATTAAAGTTTTAAAAAAATTTTTTTTAAATTAATTTTTATCGCCAGTTGTGTTGGACAGTACCGTAAGAAGTGGTAAGAAGGATCCCTGAGTTACCGACGGGAAACTTCAATTAAAAAACATGACCGAGTGCAGGAGGAACGAAGTGACGAAACGAGGATAGGAAAAAGGGCGGAATACCGTTGCATATTAGTAAGCGGCCACAGGGCAGAAGGCAAATTTGACGAAGCCAGTAGGAGTTAACGAGGTGGGCTTAGGTGTCTCGCGATAAACACAACATCGGCCTGTAATCCAGATTAACGATGTTGAACTTCCACCCCGAGGCATCACATCGTTATCGGCTTTATTTTTGGACTGTTATTTTTGTGAACGACCTTTTACGAGATCGCCACGCGTAACACTTTTCTGAGTGCTTACGCTATGTGGTGTCCGCCTACAAACGGGTATGTATACGTATACATCTATAGGGAAGGAATTCCCTTTGATTTCCTGACAGTCAACATTTTCGAAATAAGATCAGCCACTCCTATCGCTTAGGCTCGTCCTATGGTGTGTAAAAGATGTATATAAAAGAAATAAAATCACGTGGCACAATGCACGTTCACAGTTTCAGCGGGTCTCTTCTTATCTGAGGGCAAACACGTTGTGACATGGGGGGATCCTGGCAACCCACTTGCATTACCGAGTAGACATTAATGGTAAATTTACGAGCGAGCAGTATTTCGTTTCTTGGGACGTTACAAGTGTTGTTCGAGCTACTTGGCATATGCTGGTGCGCCACGTGACGATTCGTAACGCATAAATATTAAATACATTACAATACGGTATAAGAAGATGGAACATTTTTTTATTCGACTTGTACGATTGTATATATATATATATATATATTTATAGCTGGGCGAGGCAGAGTTTGATATGCGAATATCAAAATGTATTGTGCGAATTTTATTTTGTTACCTGAGATTTGCCTTTTTTCCATTATTCCGCCAGAAGTTCGCTCATGCGATATTCATCGAATTATCATGGGCCAAAAGCAAGGCGCGAGTACATTGACATAAGTTGACATCGATCCCAGGTTAATCCAATCAGAACAAGGAGTGTCGCGAAGGGAGTGGCTTTATGTAAAAAAGTCCAATTTAATCGAGCGCGAAGCAACAAGTGTGACGGAGCGCGCGTTGCAAATAGATACTCGTGTAGGACCGTGTGTGAGGTTGAGGAAAATTAAAAAAGGGAGAGTAAAGAGGAATTGGAGAGGGATGAGAGAGAAAAATGAGGAAAGTTGAAAGATTTTTTTGAGTCTACTGCTATTAAGAATCATCGTTCTATGGAAAGATTCATATTACGTGGGATCCCTTATCATTGGTTGAGATTAATTATTATCGTGTTTATCAAAAACTCTGCGAGCTTCCAGCATCGAGTTGAGGCTGAGTGTTTTTCATATAGATACGATGCATAAGATCGTGAGGATCTTAGCATATGATCATTCCATTGAAAGAGTCATCTTTATCAATGATTCCGATGATCGACGAGGAATTTATGGTAAGTTGACAAATCGTGAAGTTTCATTGCACCGCCGCTGGCTAGATGGCAGCACAGTCGCTGCGTCCGACAGAGGAATTAAATGCGGAAGGATCGAAAGTAGCGACGGCGTACGAGAAGTGTCAACGGCAACCATAACCTCTGAGAGATATAAAGAAAAGAAAGGTAAGAAAAGTGGCGACGAATCCTAGGAAACATTGAGAGGGGACGGGAGACAAAGCGTTGCGAGTTGCGTGTAAGGCGTTTGAAAATCATGATGGTAACAAATGGGCCAGCCGTAACAGTACAATGGGTCCGTTTGTTCGGGCCTCCCTCGTTTGTCAAATAGACGATTAGGCTAGTTTTATGAATCGCTTGCCCTCGTATTCTTGCGTTATTAATTGCACTGCCACGAGTTGCATCTAATTGCGTTGCGACCCACTGACCAGTCACAGCCAAATAGCCATAACGCTGCGTTACCAATCCGATTTCGATTGACAAGCACAATTTGTATTCGGTCGTGAGTTCGCCCGGTCTCTCTGTGGCCTTAGAGCAAATAGTAAATCCTAGTCGCAACGAGCTAGCAGTAAGCTCTCGTACGAATGATAATCCTATTTACGAAGTCATGCAAAAGAGAATAAACCCAGGAGTTTATTTAAAAGGTTAAAAACACAAGGGAAAAAAATAGAATCTAAAAGACGTGAAAATTAAAAATCATAAATTGAAGTAGTCGAACGTTAAGGGCGTTTTGAAGAAACTGGACGGTCACGATAATGATTATTATTACGGTAAGGACGGTAGTGGCGCTGGAGTGAACTAAGGTGGGATGGAATGGCGGAATGATTTATTGTAAAGATACTGGCAATCAGTACCACACGCGTTTGTACGTATCCACGTACGTGATCTCCGTACCACATGGCCGCAGCTGCCAAAGGAGGGCACATGCTTTGACAGGAACGAAAACCCGCTGAAGATTTCCACAATGTCCGTACATTAAATAATTACGATTCCATTAATTATTTATATCGCGCAAAGAGACGTCAGCGAAGCAGACTAATAAATTAATTTGTCAGCCAAGTCAAAATACTTTGAGGCTCGTCCAGTCACCAGAAAATATAAACCATCTGCCCAAAGCACGGAGCCACGGTAATTCGGCTCTCGGTTACTTTTTAATAAATAAAACCCAAGTCTACGGGCACTCGACTGATTCCTCAATTTTTCAATGCATTCTACGGCATTATATGAAAAGTAACAAACAGACCGTATTATACGTAGAATCTAATAAGTAGCAAGGATGAACGTTGCAGGCTGGTGAAAGATAGTCCGTTCTAAGAATACGCATTAGCAGCTACGTTAGACGGTAGCTGATTACTTGTTGCTGGTTGCTGGATGCCTTGTGCGCGTTGCCTTCCCGAAGCTGCTTCTACGCGCTTAACCTTTTTAGTTACGTCATATCGCAATAGTCAAGACCGCCGGCGATCAAGACGATTGAGGGTTAATATTTCTCGACAGGCGCCACCTTATATACGTTTCCTATAGATACGCTTTATAGGCCTCGCGCGCACAGGGTGCCACAGATGCACACGCTCCATCCTTACTTACCGAGGAATCTTAATGGATGTTTTCCTTCTTGCGTTAATTCACCCTCTTCTTGCCTGCGCTATTCTCTAGCCTCTGATGCCTGGCACCCATACACATATAAACCTATATACACCGTACCACAATCTTCGTCAGGCCAATCTAACGTTATTCATAACTTTTTCGTAATTTCTTATTTTTACCTGAAGAAGACCGTTACACCAACACAGGGAGTAGTACAGTCATAAAATTCTCTAGCTCACTATATACCTCCTTATCTTATCTGGATCCTGCTCGAGCCACGAAACGGAGCCATCGATTCCAGCGACACCATTCAGAATTATAATCGTTCTCGCAGCGTTACCAACTATCACTATAGCTTCTTCATCGCGATACCCAACGATAGTAAATGGAAGCTCATTGATCAGTCATAGCGTAGAATCGAACTTGATCTCGCTATACCGTGACGCAATAATTACATCGATGTTAGGTCAGCGAGTTGGAAGCTCGTGAATATCATTGATGAAAATTCGTTATTGCCGCAAGTGGGTCTCGACCGTCTAATAGGAATATTGAAAGAACGTAAATTCCTTTGTAACGGCGCTATGCGCGCGATCGTGATTGGGAGTTAAAATTATTGAAGAATCATTGTTATCACATTCTAACGGTACAGACTGATTCAAAACTCAAGGACTCGTCGGTTGAGATCGTTGCCAAGATCGTTCCACACTTTTCGTGCAACGAGGTATTATGATATATATATATATGTATATACGTTCATGGATGAACGTCAGTGAATTCTGCTGGAGAGATGCTGTATCGTGCTGGACCAAATTAATATCACGGATCGCGCGATCGATTGTAACTCATTTCAATTCTAATAAAAAAATTCTTCTCCGGCATTTTTCGATCGGTCTTCCGTTCAAATTCGAAAATGACTACGTAACCACTCACGTGGCTTATTACGTACGTATGTATGTTTACGTACGATGGACGATCCCACGTATGCGATAGGAGTTACGATGGCTGCCGATTTCTTTTTTTTTTTCTTTCCTCGTCTCATTCTTCTTTTAGAAAATTTATTTTGCGAGAAACTTCACCAGTTCGTCGGCGTGTCTAACGTGCGCTGCTACGTGACTCTAAGGGATTGGGATGTATGTTACGTATGTCTACCTTTTTAGACGAACTGTGTGTCTTGTACACATTACAGAATACACTTTCAACGAGAGTTCAGATAAGGGAACGCTCTCTTAAGATTTTCATGCCTTATCTCTCCTTACAACGAAATTGTCTGTTGTTGTAATTTTTTTTACTACCTCAAAAAACGACTATCGTCTTGCTCGAAGATAGAATATTAGCTATTAGAATTGAAAAAAAAATTACATTTTTTCGATTTCTCGTAAATTCTTATCTGCGTATTGTTGGCTTTGCTTATTTGTCGTGTTAAATATAAAATTGTGTCTTACCAGCAGGCAGAGAAGTAACAGTGGGAGAAATAGTCGTTGCATTCTGGAACGATGTCTTCCTTTGGTATTTCCAAGAATTGTCGCACGATCGAGTAGTTTAATGAAAATTTTGATTTTTCATATTTTCTCAAGCGCTTTCACACCGATAAACAGTCCGCGAAGGATCTTTGCGAAAACTTTGGATAAGACCGATGTTCACTCAATTCACATGACTGTCACGTAATTCACTGTACGCCCATTACTGTCAATTCTGGGAAAGCTGACCGATATGTTATCACAGTGTGTCACAAAATGTGACATTCGTTGAGTTCTAGCCAAAATTCAGATTTGACATCCTCGTGGAATCTTGAAAAAAAAAAAATAGAAAACATAAATATAGACACGAGAATTAATTGATGGAACACGTGTCCGGATTTGCGGTGAATAATTGGGCAGCAGCAGGTGCAGCTACGCATTAATCGCAATGCGCATATCTAATCGGCGATTTAATTGACCGGCTCGTCGGGAGGACACGGAGAATCCGCATTGCTAAAATTCCGTTTGGTTGTAATCGTAATCGAATATTCCGTGTCCAAATATTTCTGTCATCCTGACGTAAGATTGACAACTACGATATGTATCCTGTCCGGTATTCCTAGGCTTAAGGTTCGTTCTCACGTGCGTCAGTGGGTACACGTAAAGCGCGGTTGCGAAATTCGTTTGACTCGCTCGCGGAATCCTTGTCGAGGCAATTGAACGCTCGGAATTTTACATATGTACATAGCCCAGGGCTACTTGGGTTCTTCCTCCTTGCATACAACGTGGCACGTATCACGCACGTTGCGTACGTAGACATGGAAATCGCCTTAATGAGACTTTGCTTGGTAGCGTCGCTGTACGTGTAAGCGGTTGGATCTTCCTGTAAGAAAGATGTAGGGATAGGTTGTGGACGGAGCTGGGACTCGTGTAGGAACACGTGGGCGTAGGTGGGAATACCTGGGAATTCGTGATATCGGCCGCGAGCCGAATTGTCCGCTATTTTTAAAATCGACTCCACAAATAACGAATTCCATGAAGAGCGACACCACGCTTCGATAAATTAGTTCTATGTTTACTTATGAACTCAGGAACTGGCCGCGCGCGCCTTTAGTTTATTTTATTGCCACTGTCGTGACAATACCGTGTCGCGCAGTGCCGAAGGCTTTTAAACTCGCCCCCTTTTCCCGCCTTAAACACCCTACCTACACGTATACGAGGCGTGTACAAATATTTTCTTTTTACAGAGCCTATAGCAATACCTAATTTCCCATTTACTTCATTCATATTCTACACTCACGTTTTTTGGTACTAGTTTCTTTTTTTTTTTTCGTATTTTTAGAAAATTACATTTTTCAAATTGCGTGAGGTCGATGCAACTTTACAAAAACATATTTACGATATGTCTTATATTGGACTTTTTTTTTTCAAATTTCATATAAAAAATCTTTATCGTGTCAACGAGAAAAATTAACGGATACCGTATATCCTCGTATATGCAACTTACCTGTTGCATCGGCCTTTCACCTTTGTTCATGAATATCTCATGTTGTCGGGTCAACAAGAAATTGGCAAAGTTTTCATTGTCTCGAGTCTAATGTCAAAATATACATAGACGAGGGAAGCTAATGCACTCGGAATTTCATTGCATCTTCTGCCACGCATCCAAGCATCGCCGAGTTGCGTCTTGATGAGATTAGGGACTCGGTAGATTAATTAAAAAGGCTCCATTAATTAGAGAGCATAAACTCCCTTTAATGAAAACGGGCCTAGCTAATAGCCGGGTCAAGCGTTTGTATAGCGAATAATAAATTAATAAAGTTTCACGCGATCACTGCAAGGCTAATTTTATTTCCAGTGAGACCCGGGAGAATCTCAAAGACACGCAGAGACCGGCGAGTCGTTTCTTTTCCTTCTTCCGACTTCCTTATAAATTATTAATATTGTTATCGACACCGCATTGATTCCGTTTCAGCCGCGATAACACGTATATACAATGGGCCATACACTTCTAATGAATTTTACACGAAAAAGATTCTTCAAATGTTATTTTGAAAATTTAACGACTCAATCGACACTCTCGTGTACGGGAAATCAAGCTGACACCGTTACGTAGCTGGACAGGTATGCGTGACGCAGTATTGTTGGTTCCTTTATCATACCCGAATCTTTGTGAATTTATGGAAGCGAGATAAGAAACCGCGTGCGTCTCATACTTTGGAGAACTCTAATGTAAAACTGACGGCAAGCGTTGAGCGAGCACTGACTTTATAGAGGCTGCGAGTGCGCCAGTGTGGAGGCAGCTTAAGGCGCTACCATGACAACGCGTCACCTGGCATGTACGAGCCATATTTCAGACGAGTGAAATAAGAAAAAAATATCAAAATCCTCAATATCAATAACTAAAGTCCCATAAAAATTGTTACCTGTTCACATAAAAATTGTTTATCCGATAAGAGAAATTTGTTGAAATGTTAATAAAAGAATCGAACTAATGACTGGATGGAAATTTTTCTTAATTTTCAATTAACACTACGCAAGTCAACTTTTTCGTGACTCTGTACTCTCGTGTCAGTACAGAGGGTTGACTAATTTTAGACACGTGATCTAGACCGAGGTTAAATAAAGAGACAATTCTCAGGAAACTCCCTCTCGATCTTTGCCAAAGCGCGTATCTACTCTCTAAACGTCTAAACCACATAACCTGACGAAAGCTCCTTACGATTGCTTCGGTCTACACGTTGTTTTAAGGTTACCTAAACGATACTGCACGACGGAGAATTCGAAACTGGAACTAACCGAGGAAACGTCGGGTCGGTAAATTACCGACGTGGTACGGGAGTCAGTGATGCCAGACTTTTTGAAAAGGTTCAATTACGAAACTCCAGAGGAAGCTTCCGTGCTTGTATGGCGTCCAATCAGTTGATTTAACGTTAACGTCAATACGTGAGCAGAGTTCATCAATCTCCCGTAATAATATCAACACGTCGTGTCTGAATCAACACGCACCGTTGACGGTTCGACGTTCGTACCTACGTAAGTGCATACGTATTTCACAGTCTCTGCCACATCCGCACTTCGTGAATCCTCGTTAAGCTACGATCTTTTCCGTCAAATCAAAATCTCCTGCCGTTTGGTTTATTCTAGCGGCGGGAATCGCACGAAAACTCCGACGTACCATGACATTTCTATGCGAGGTTAGAAACGCGCTGTGACTGTTGACGTTTTCTTTTCAGTCTATAGATAAATTGGCGTGGATGCGCTGGATACATTGAGGGACAGAAGAAAAGAGCAAAGAGAATGAGAGAAACAGGTAAGGCACGAGAAGACGAATCACTGAGACTAATTACGAATATCCATCTTTAGAATGGCTGTCGGCAGTGGGAAGCTAATCGTCGGTCACAGGTTAGGAAACTGACTTCATAAACGTGCGACCTAAACACAGAGAGCTATTCAATAGGATGTTGGGTACTCAACGACACGTTTACGCGTTCCTAAACGGTCAGATTAATGATGCATCAATCATCTTGAAGTTACGACTCTCGCGAAGGCGATTTGGGTAGAGAATGAGAGAGAGAGAGAGAGAGAGAGAGAGAGAGACACAGAGATGGAAGGTAAGATGGAAGAGAGAGTAACGATTTGGGTAGAGAATGAATGTTGGGTACTCAACGACACGTTTACGCGTTCCTAAACGGTCAGATTAATGATGCATCAATCATCTTGAAGTTACGACTCTCGCGAAGGCGATTTGGGTAGAGAATGAGAGAGAGAGAGAGAGAGAGAGAGAGAGAGAGACACAGAGATGGAAGGTAAGATGGAAGAGAGAGTAAAAGAAGAAAAGTATAGGCTGACACATTGCAGACTGTAGTCTAAAAATCCTTGAAGATTTTTTTTTTGAAAATTTGTTATTCACGAATCCCTTTTTTTAAATTTTCATATCTTATTCTACGGAATTATTTAAAGTCAAACGATGATATAATAATTATGCTGCTAGTCCCACAACACGTGCCAGTCGTCAGTGTCATTAAGAATTTCAGCCGATCGTCTTGGTATCACAGAAATGAACGTTTGGCGGCTGTGCCGGGCGCAAAGACGCGAGAGGAATTTCAATTTCAGCTTTGAGTCGTTAAGTTTTGTAAAATCCACAAGAGGAGGATTTATTTTATGAAGTATTCGCCGCATCTGTCAGATTGCAAACTGTCATCCCAAAAATGTTACTTTCGTCTATGAGAACAAGTGAGAAGTTTTGTAAGCTCGGAAGAATGTTTAAAGCTTCTTAGAAACAGTTCCCAAAATAACGATTGCACATAGGTCAATGCTGAGATATGAACAGTTAAAAATACTTGAAAGTAATCGAAGAACCGTATAAATACTCTATTTCGTCTCATCTCCTAAATATAAATGAAAGATCCCTTTCATACACGTACCACGTAGCACTTTGGTACTGATTGTAACAATTTTTGAAAAAAACAATTTTTTGATCGGGAATCGAACCCGCAGGTCACAAGCCATTGGGCCATAGATTCACTGTGCATTCTGATGGATCCCAATTATTTATTTTTTGGTACTTCCCAGGGAAACCACCCTTCAGCTTGTAACCCCACGTTGAAATGTATAGCATACGCACGTACATAGAATTTAAACGTTAATTTTTGCGCAATTGAAAATTACAAATATATATGATCAGTCATGAAACACTATTCACGTAATATCATTTCTCGCAACTACTTTGAAAATTAGTCTCGGCAAGTCCTATATTCGGATACTTTAACAAGCAATAAAAGTCAACAGGGCTGCGAATCGATTCTCCATGCGCTGTTCCAAGAAATCGATTTAACTCGCATCGACACCAATCCCCTCCACCCACTTCTAAACGTCATAACAAATCGCGTCTACTTGAACATTAAAAAAAAAAATGCCCGAGCAAATATGAAAACCGTGAGTCCAATATGCTAATAAAAAAAAAAAAAAAGAAAAACCAGAAAATAACTCCAAGAATAACTGTAGAGTAAATTGATCATTCTATTTTCTAGTTTCGATGGAAGATGCTGCAGATCGGCATTGCGCCAATTTGAGTGGCGCGCAAGGAGCCGGCACTGAAAGGCAATTTAGCGGTCATTAATAGAGTTGCATCAGTCCGATGGCTCGTTCGAGTACGATACATCGCGAGGAGTGGTCCAGCAAATAGATCAGAGCTAAGAGATAGCAGATAGTAAATAGGAGGAGGTGGTTCGAGAGAAGAGAGCAGTGTTATAAGCACAGACCATATGACGTTTGGCTTGCATAATACCACATTCTGTATGCATTGTATCTACCGTATCCGATATATTCACTATATTCACCGTATTCACTATATTCATCATGCCCACTAAGATCATGGATACAGAAGTAGAGATCCGCTACCCATTCTCATAGCGCGCTACGCCAGGGTGATTAACGATAGGGTTCATGAACCTTAAGAGAGATCGGCCCGAGGGCCGGAGAAGCCGGCAGCTTTTCCAGCATCCAGACTCCGCGCGCCAATCAGTCGACCGTTCCTAATGATCTCTCTTTATCCTGACATCGCCGACAGGCGATCCCATCCTCGTGCCACGATCTAGTTTCACGGCAGAGTCAAACGGCGCAGATTAAAATTTATCTCTATAGCTTACTGGTGGATCTCTTGGAGTATCCATTGTCGGTAACAAGTTGTACGGTTAAAAAAAAGATCCTCTCTGGACGATAGTACGATTAATACTCGTGGTTTCCGGATGGAAGCGACGGTACGATTGGTTACTGGATTTTCACCGTGTACTGGAAGCACTCTCTTATCTTTCTTTTTTTAATTATTATTATTTCCTAGCTACTCGTTAAGAACGATTCCGACATGGGTACCGGTCGGTAATTTCATGCAAACGAGTCGATACTGCTAATACGATAGGAACTCTCATTAGCATCGCCTTAGTCTGTTTCTTCCTGTAGTACCACTACTGGCCACCTACTCCGTGGCGTCCTGTCCGCTGCTATAAGATCATTCGCAAATTACGCACTCGGCGATCTGGTAAAGTTCTCTCGGGGACTCGGAGGGATAATTTTCTTGATTTTCTATTTTCTTTCTTTTTCCGGATTATCTAACAGCAATCAGTGGGGCATGAAGTCCGCAGTGCCGTACATCGAGGATCCTGAGAGGGGCTTTAAGAATATCCTACGTACGAGAGGTTCGAAGCGTCTTAGGTAGGGTTAGCTCGTGATGCCGTGAACGCAGCAGTTATTCCGTGAACCCCCACCGTCCCTGTGGCTTGTACAGATTTTTTCTCCGCTTTTCCTCCTCGTCCCGCTTAATTTCAACGGACAAGTCCACGAGTTATTACCGACTGATCCGAAAAGGAATAAAGCCTCGGCGAGAGTCGCCGATTTTACGATGTTTCTTTAACGCGCTTGACAAATTGATGACTTCCTGGGGCCAGGCTGGGCTGAGCCGATTCACGTCCCTTTTTTAATCCCATAGGATCTGCTGCGGTGGCTTTGTCATTATTTTTCATCAGGGTCATCAGTGAACTTGGCGACGAATTCTTTCCCTCTGGATATACTACTTTGCAAATGGATGATCGCCTCGGCTATCAGCTGCTCCTCCAGGTCGCTCACTGGACCGTAGCCCAAATTCTCCTCCACGCCGTCTGGACCGAGGAGGAGCTCGTTGCTAAAGAATCTCGAGTTGTTCACCTCGGATTCCACGTAAGCCGTGGCTACGACGTGGGGTGCGTGGTTTATGGCTCTACAGAGTCTTTGGACAAAGTACCAGGCACCGGAAGCCATGGACCAGGTAGAACCAGCCTCACCATTCTTTGCCTGGGTAATGAGAATTTATTTAATGCTAAATCTCCATTGATTCGTCCCACTGATAATGAAATTATACTTGCCAGGACGATTCCTTTCCCAGCGAGACGCAGCTTCTGCGTCAGCTCCAGTATCTGATCTCTGGGTAGCAAGAGTCTGGGTCTGCTCCTGGAGAACAGTGGGACCATTGTCTTTTCCGAGTGACCTCCGACCACCGGTACGTATACTTTCTCAGGTCTGAGCCCCACGGCGTCGGCGAAGAAGTATCTGGCTCTCATCAGGTCCAGAGTGCAGACGCCGAAGAGTCTTCCGGCGCAGTAAGCTCCGTGATGCTTGAGGACTTCCGCCGCCAGCGGTACCAGCGAGTCCACTGGGTTCGATACGATGGCCAGTAAAGCTTCTGGGCAATTCTTCGCGCAAGCTGATATTACATCTCGACAGAGGTTCGCGTTGTGCTAAAAGTAATGCGGGCAGCAAGTTAGACGGTTTGTTTATGCAGCTTGAGAAATAAGAGGATTCGCGAGATGAATCTCTGACTAAGAATGCAGAACGGCTGGCTCCTATATTTTTTTGCGATGGAAAGCCCCAAAGAATTTTTATGCGAAAAACACTCGAGCCTAAGAAGAGACTCCAGTGCCTCTTTGCATGTATATTATGTCAGGTGGAAGCACCAGGAAACCTCGAAGAGTTCTTCTCTCGGATTGTCTCCCTTTCGCGGGACCCCAGTCGTCACGATGACCATATTCGCATCGCGCAGTCCTTCCGATAAGGTTTCGGCTCCCGCGAAACCCAGGGTCCTCACGTTAGTCGGTATGTGGCTGAGATCCTGGACCATGCCCTCAGGGTCACTCCGGTTGCACAGTCTGAGCTCTGTGATATTGGCTGGGTACATCTTGAGAAGGTGGGCGAGTCCTTTGCCGACACCCCCCAGACCGACTATAGAAACGCGGCATTTATTTATCTTGGAGGAGTACCGTCTCGCCACGCGAATCCCTTTGGAATTTTCACAAAATTGTTTCAGCAAAGTACCACCCTTGGTTTTTGTTAAATTTGGCATCAGTCACTGGGAATTTATTTTGTTTTTTAACTGTCACGCGAGGTTAGAATTTTTCGAAAACAATTGTACGGACTTCACTGTAGTTTGACTGTGGATGCTGAGTGGACGGGAGAAAGGTATTCCAGGGGGATTGCAAATTTGTCATCGAGTTGTCTCTTCGATCTTTATTATACGGAAATACCACTTGTGACTTTTACTTTATTCGCGTACTGCTCTTAAGCATTTTTTTTTTTCATGCGTCAAAAATAACTTCTGACTGCATCTTTTATGTTGGTGCGTTTAATGACTTGGCAGCTCGGAAATTCCATCGTAGGAAATTTTACAGTTAATCTTTGTGAATCAATTTATAATCGAAGGAATACAAGTTTATCGTCAGATATTATTTCAAGCTGAATAATCAGGTTACAGTGAAATTTTTTTTGTTTTGAAATACCAATAAACAATAATACTGCTTTATCATGAAATTTACTGTGGTACATTGTAAATTTAATGGTTTCTATCAAAATTTACTTTTTTTTAATAATATATATATATATTTCTTTTCTATCTATTCTATACTCTATATAATACCTCTTCCTGACTGCACTGAGTTCCGGTGACATCTTATTTGTCTACGGGAAGTAACGTCTAAAGGGAAGTAACCCTCGAACTATGTTACCGACCCTGCAAGTTATCGTCCTCTGATAAGACAGAAACTACAGCCTCTCAGTTTCCGCGTGGGAAGAAAAAGTGAAAATTTCACGAATTTCAGTCGCTCTTAGTACTTTTAGGTTGCCGCTAGATGGCGATACTATCTATAGGTCCACACTAAGCGCACAGTTGCCTGAAAGGCATCTTGAAGAAGTGTTTTAAAAGACTCCAGAGACGTCATTTCAAAAACGTGATCCAAACAATTGTCACTGTTGATCCATCGATCAGAGAAAACCCGTAAGAAAATTTCCTCTTGTCAATGATTTTTGGCCAAGAGTAACGTATGGTAAATCAACGAAAGTCAATGAAAAATCATTCATTAGCCTTGGGAAAAACTATTGGTAATAGAAAATAGTTCTACGAGGAAGGAGCCTGATTCATAATTTTTAAATATGCTATACACGCCGCAAGTGCGAGGGGACGGAAATTTACGTGTATGAGAACGAAAAAGATATATTGCCGAGTCGAATGGTAGTTGATATCCTTTTCTAAACTAGATGCATTTTAAAACGTTCCTTTTTTTAATAATTCAAAATCTTCAAACTCCCCGTCTCCTGCATCTTCAGCATCTGCATCCTCGAGTACCTAATAAACGTGCGAACCTCTGCTACAAAATTTTACCCAGAGTCAATAAAAAAATTTCAAAATACGTATCGACGTAAATCAAGTCAAATAAAAAAAAAAACAGAAAAAATCCATTTCCAAAGAGTTATCATTGCAAAACTTCAAAATAACCTTTACTCGTATAACACAAAGCATTATTATCTTACAGAGAGGAGGCTAGACATGTAACCGTGGTGAGTTGGCTGAAAGGATGTTCTTTGAAAGAATAACGATCAACCCGTCTTCGCAAGGGTCGTTATTGTCTAAAAGAGAAAGAGTGAGGCGCGTGGGATTTAAAGAGAGAGAGAGAGAGAAACGAAGATAAATAATAAGAGAGCGCAAGAAGTTAGAGAACGAGAGAAATATTGCAGTTTCCATAGTGAGTGGTTCTCGAGGTGATTCCGTCTGGAGGCTTAAAGGGTTTCGAGGGAGAGAGAGAGAGACGGAGGGACAGAGAGAGAGAGAGAGAGAGAGAGAGAGAGAGAGAGAGAGAGAGAGAGAGAGAGAGCAAGAGCGCGCAGAGCGGCTGAGAGGTGGAGGGAAAGGCGCCGGGGAGTTCGAAATTGAAAAGCATCTTGGCGAGGGTGTGCACAGTCGGCGACAGGCGAAAGACCGTGTCAGAGGGTAATCCTATTGGTGGACGGCAGCGTCGCGACGTCTCGACGTCATTGGTTCGTCGCCGGACTCTGAGGCGTGGTTTACCCCTGTTTACCCCTTGGCAACGGTGGGAGCTGCTACACCCCGACGGCCGATTACGAGGAAAACCACGAAGGGGCTCTCGCTTGCTCGTCCACGGAAATCCAACATGGCGGATAACCACCCCTATTCCAATGCAACCCCTTTCCCGTTGGTTCCTACTCTTCTCCATTCGCCGACTTCCCCCCCGAACGACAACGCGGGCTACGCGATTCCTTCAGGAGTCGCAACTTCAATCTTTCCTTCGCCCCGGTCTCCGATCATCCTTACCAGCACCATAACCTCATAGCCTAATATCGGCTGATCCTTCGAACCTCGATCATTTTAATCTGCGAGCACCACCAAGCCAGCTGTTGCTCCTTTACATTTCTGCCATTTTTTTCCTTGCTGCTAGTAAATCTTATAAAGGCTCTTGGTAAAATTAATATAAAATAAAAAATATATCCATACGCTTTGTCTCTGTTGGGCAGGTAAAGAAAAAGATACGGAGAAGCCAGAAGAGTAAGGAGGACAAGAGGCTGCAATTAATTGGCTGCTTCGGCAACGTAGACGGAGGCTCCATCCGTTCGCTCCCCCAGAGCTGGTTTGCCCTACGCAGCCAACGATCAACAATTGCCGTGGTGGATCTCGATCAGGATGAGAGCGAAGGGGGTGGTAGAGGGGAGGGAGGCCATCCTGGCGAAGATGCTGGGCGAGGGTGGAATCGGGTGAGGAAGGCCGAAGGAGGGCGAAGGAGGGCTGGAATAGGATGGCAGTGGATAGTAGTGGGGTGAGATGGGATGAACAAGACAGAAGCACGAGAGAGAGAGAGAGAGAGAGGAGAAATTCTGGCATCCAGCGCATAGCGGGGTACGCGCAAGCGCCGCGACGCTCCTCGACGCCACATCAAACGTAGCGGCTATAGGTTAAATCCTCGTATCCGTTTTTGTTGTTTTTCCCACGGTGCCTCCTGATCCCGCCTTCAAAAGTACGCTTGGACCAATCGCGAGTACGGCACCGGGACGCTCGCCGTCGGGACGCCGACGTCACCGATCGCCTCGTCGTCACAGTCGACGTTTCTTAACAGGTCGACTACTCGCCCGGCGTCATCCGCCAATGCCAGCGTCGTTGTCGTCGCCGTCGCATCCCAAAATCATCATCTCCTTACGTTCCTTCCTGCCGTCGAAGATCACGTCTCCCGTAATTCGTCATCTTATTTTTATCATCGTCCTTCTCGGTCCTTCTGGACCATCGATCCACCGATCGGCAACTATCGTCCAGAGCTCGAAATCGGTAGGTAAATTGTCAGATCCTAATTGGAATTATTTGAGATCGTGAAAAAAAAAAAAAAAATATATGAAAAAAGGATTAAGTGCTTGTGTCACGTGACTTGTGATTTCTACTATCAGAGACCGACTGTGCTGCGCGAGTGAACTCTTTAGTTTTCCAGTACCGCGACAAGTGTTGGATCCAAGACTCTTTTGCGGAGAACAGTGTCATTCGGCTGGCACCTGGTGCTACTTGGTGCGAGTGCGAGTGTGCTGGCTGCGACTTTACGAAATAACCCACGAGCCAAAAGCTATAAATGGAATCTCTTCCGTAGGTCCGCGCACCTCCGGGTCCACCTCCGGGTCCACCTCCGGGTCCACAGGATAATCGTCACTGGCAAGAAGTCATGAACGGAGCGACTTCGTGTGGACCGTCGGATGATCAGCATCATCATCCACGTCAACAGTCGCAAAACGAAAGCAGCTCGGATCGTCCCAGAAGTCCCACGACTCCGCTCAGCATACGTCACGGTACGATTTTCAAACCTTAACGTTCGATCGATCCATTCGGACTAATTATCGTTACGATCCCGATGGCTCGTTTAGCCTTTTAAAAAAGTTCTTCTACCTGCTATGTCTTTAATAATTCAATTCAGAGACTTATTCTTTGATAATGACGTCCTGCCAATATTTAATCAAGTGCCGATCTATCATTCCGCGCACCAAAAAGTGAAATGTCATACGTGCCAATTTGAATACACAGTTGATCTCTAATTCACCTACTTCGAGTCAATACTATTTGTCACGCATGAATTAACATTGACACGATTTATATTTTTAGTATTAACGTCAGTAGGTATATCTTGATTTCGTGTATTAAATTTTTTTTTATATTTCGAGGTTTTTGGCATGCCTCTCTTCTGTTAGGTTTCTACCGGAAGAACGTGAGGAAGGTCACTCGTATGGACTCGTCGCGTCCGCTCGTACAGCAATTCATAATCAGGATCCTTGCACTTAATCCACAAGGGCGACTTATTTACGGGGCACGAATTCGAGGGGTGGCAGGGCGCAACGACGTTACGCCATTAGAGTAATCAAATTGTCGTTGCTCGCCGAGCGGAATGCGGTGCAGGGTTAAACGAAAAAAAAAAAATTATACATCGATCGGCTTCCGTCGAGTGGACTTCGTGACGGGCGAATCGGCTTCCAGCAAGGGGTGTCAAATTTCATTAGCATATCAATGCTGGTGGATGGTGCGGCTTCCAAGGCGCCACCTGCGACCCATGTTATGGGATCATCGAGGGATGCTTATAAACGAATAGGGGATAAATTGCAATGAGAATTAGTTATTGTGTAGATAGCGAGAGGGGTGACATTTTTTATGCTAGCTTTACTTAGGCGAAGTGCAATCGAGACCCGAGACACTTCTTGGTGCACCGAGAAGACGTTGGAAAATTTCGAAAAAATTGGCTCAGACCTTATTTTCATTATGGAGTTGAAATATTTTTATGTCACACGGTGTATATATTTCGTAATTCCGTGAGTCCTGTGAATTTATAAAAGGGGATGAAATTTCGGGAAATACTTACGGAGGAATGGGGGGTGCATTGGTACTGGTAGAAGCAGCACTAGCAGTTTGTAGTATAGGTATACAAAGAGTTGAGGGTGAAACCCTATTGGTTAGAGCAATAAATACAATTCCATCAAATCACGCTTTAATGAAAATCGTGACTAATAAAATAAGTGGCAGGCAGTAGTCGACGGCACCCCGAGTAATTCACTAGCCACCCCCGTTGATAGAAAATCGCATTTCGTCGACTTCCAGATGTTTGCAGTTCGCGTGGATCCTTCGGGATCGCTTCGTTCCCTTGCTGCTTGGATCTTTCGAATTGAATGTCTCGTAGGATCCCCAGCCTCCCCTTCGTCTCTGAACACCTATACATATTTATGCCTTGTGACGCGTCGCGACGCACTTTATACTTTGCCTTTTTACGAACTCATTTCATAATGTAAATGCTGTTTGCCAAAGCGACTCGCGAAATCCTTGCGTAAACCCCAAGGGAAGCAAAGGAAATGTATTTAAAAAAAAAGGAAGACAGTTGCGTAAGAAAAAAAATGAAAAAAATTGAAATTAAATCTCCCACAAAAATTTCGAAATTTAATATAAATTTTTCTTCAAATTTTTCATAATCATTTGATATTCCGACGTACCGATAATCAACGAGCCTCATTTTGAGAATCAACAGTGATCGTCCCTGATGAAGCATTGGGAATAACGCAGCAGTGCATTGAGGCGGCACTTGGGTATTTTAGGGTAGAGGCGCAGGAAGGAGGGCGATAGAGAATAAGTCAGAAATCCATCAGAAGATAATCCACAATATTTGGGTAGTAAATGAATGCAATTAATTTATACGCAATCGCGTGACTCCGACCCCACTTTTGTGTATCAATCAAAAGCGTAGGGTCGGGTGCAGGGCATCAGGAAGGCTCTTTATGTTGCCCTTTCCTTTCAAGGGTCCGTCCCACCCCGAGCATACATACACGTACCCTCGATAAATCCACAAAGGATTTTAGCCCGTGTAGAAAAGATACTTAGGAAATATACGTGTGCGATAGCTTGGAAATGAATTAGTAAATTTCTAATAATAAGACATAATTGTCACGAAATCGGAAAACAGCGGGAAATCGATCGTCACTCTTCCTAAGGGAAGGTCACTCCAGAAGAGCGCAGCTGGTTTGACTGTAAAAACATAATAAAACGTATTCCCGTCCTTGATGGTTTGCTATTTTCATTAAAGCCGCTCACGGCATTTGTGTAAAGTCTGCATGGAGCCGCGAGATAATAATTGTTGAATGTTGACGTTTTCGAGTGTCCTCGCGGTCGCCTCCGTCGGACAGACGTCGTTTATTAATAGAATCCTCCCGACAATAAAGCTACGTATTGTTTCAGTCGACAGGTCAGACGATAGGTCACGATGTTGACGTTCCGCCGACTTTCGCGGCTGTTCCTTCGGTGCCGATCGAATTCGAGAGTAATCTGAGCTTGCTGGCCCGTGTGTCTTTCAGATTCCGGAGAGAGCAGCGTGATCTCGCCAGGATTGCCAGAGCGCTACAGTCCGCTGGGAGCGACAGGATCAGCATCCAGTCACGATCCCTACGCATCCCGTTCGGTCCAGGAATGTCCGGTTCCCCTTTGTCGCGGGGTGCCTACCGACTTCCCTCTGGCACGGTCGCCCTACCTCACCGCCCTGGGCAACGGTCATCCTCATCTCCTTGGTCAGAGCCAGCAGCAGCAGCAGCAGCAACAGCAACCCCAACACGGCAATAAACCACCCCGTAGCCTTGGACTCATATGTGTCGTATGTGGTGACACGAGTTCCGGAAAACATTACGGTATCCTGGCCTGTAACGGATGCAGTGGTTTTTTCAAAAGAAGCGTCCGCCGGAAGCTCATCTACAGGTCAGTCCGAGTGTACATAACAAACCCTGCACCACTTGGACCCCCCCGGTGGAGCCTGGACGGTATCGTTGAAAAATTAGGGTTCGTTTACAAGCCAGTTGGACGTTGATCCCAACTGGTCCTGGTGCCATGTGGTTCAAGTCGAGTGGGTTCATGTTAATACCGTCAACAATACAGTGGTATAATGCGAGGCCTCTAGTCCCTTCGCACGGGTCCATGAGTCCGCATGGACCTAGGAAGCGGACTAGGACCTAGTGGGAAGTGATGGCCTCCATGGGTTCGATGTGGGTTCTTCTGGAAAGCTATCCCCAGGGAATTCCCATCTATCTCCATCGAATCCCTCTCAGCCGGAATCGCTGTCTGTTCCGCTGGATCCATCCCCGTGCAGCATCCATATATAGGATCTTGATATACGTATATATGCGTCTATATGCAGCCACATAGGGTTGTCCACACATGAGGTACCCTCGGATACGAGATGCTGCGTTCTTGATATATAAACTATTTACTCGAAGTAAATTTTTTTTTTTTCGAAAACTCATTCGAGAATTCTTTTACGTCGCGCGTGACTGGAATTTGGTCCATACGACGCGGGACGGAGGATAGCCGGTATCTTGGATGCTGGATAATAATTTTCTCTCGGGAATAGGTAAATTTATTTGAAAGCTCCAAGAGGCCGTATAAAAAAGTCACTTCGCCCGGTGTCACACTTTCTTAAGGTTCGATCGTTGCCAATTGCTGTTATCGCATTAGGCGTGTATAAGAATACCTGGGAATCTGTTGAAACAGGTGTGACAACACGAGCGACGCTCTGCCGATCAACACGTAGTCAATCTCCAGGCTCATCTCTCCTTTGCCAGTGAATTAATCTACATTGAGCACGTTACATTAGGTTGAATAACAAGTGAGTCCTACCAGGTGAAAAAAAATGGCACAAATTCGAAATAATAGAGATAATCGAAACGTCTGTCAATTATTTAACTCGCGTACGTGACATCACGTGAGAGTCGATTTGCCTATTGTGACGTCTCTCTTGTGACTCTCGACGATGCTCCTGAGAACATAACGAAAGCCACGTTACCTGTCGTACATTGACAACTATTGACAGTAGCTGAGTCACGAGAATTTTTACGGAAATTAAACATTCGCATCGTTAGTCATTGATATACGTGAAAAAAATGATTCCTCCGAAGAATTATCGACCGTTGCGACATTGGATGCTCCACTTTGCTTCTCTGCTTTCCATTTTTTATCTTAGCCTCTCTCTCCGCTCTTCTCTTCTTTACGATCCATTCCTGTCAGATGGCCGTAATACGGTAAAGACTGAAGAGCCTTCGCACAGATAACCAATTACGGAAGGGGCGAGGGTTGATGGCTCGTCGTAGCCTCGAAGCGACAGATGCGTCCCGACGCGTCGCGACGCGCGCCCACAATCGCGGGATTATACGAACCGCACAGCCTCCCGTTCTGTCGGCCGATTGAAAGGCTCCCGGATCGTATGGGGTATCGACGTAACACGCCGAAAGTGCCGATGCGATTTCCCAGCGAATCGCACGCAGATAGGAGACCAAATGACAAATGGAAACTGGAGCGAAGGAAAAATTTAAAAAAATGCACCAGCGACTCTCGCCGGGCTGCTGTTCACTGATCAGGCGACGATTGGCCAAATAAAAGGAACAAACAGTCCTGCGGGCAAATACGTCTGTTCCAGGTAGCGAGTCGTTCGAATCGTAGTGGCGGGCGTGATAACCGGGAACACATGCTTCCGGTTATATGGAGCGTAACTCGATAAAGGAAAGAATCGGCAAGGGCCGAGAAGAATAGAGAGATGCGTAAATAAATGTATGATGTGGTTCTGAAGGGTGAATGGAGGGTGAGTGAGGTCTGCAAGCTCCACTGGGGTGTGAACGCAAATCAATTTGTACGACCCCCGCCGGCACGCAGCGTGGTGCGTGCTGCGTGCCACCCTTAGTGTTCGCCGTTCACTGCCTCGGGACAAGATAGTCCTTCGTCCTGGCTCCTACGTGATTCACTCCGTTCTCTCTGGGACTCTCTTCCTCCTCTCTCTCTCCCGCACTCAGGGTGCTTGAGTGACGTCAGGCCAAATCGCACCAAGGGTAGCCACGGATCCGCGAGCCCAAAAATCCGCAGCCGAGCTTTTTCTCCTGGTTTTCCGTCCTTGCACAGCCACCCGCCGCCCCGTTGCTCCTCTTATTGTTCCTGGATATAAAAAGGCTCCTTATGCAATAACCTGCGGAGGATCCTTTGCGTAATCCTGGTCCACGGAAAGCGTTACGTGTCGATGCGAACTGCACCGAACAGCAGGGAGCTCTGTGGCTTGATCGTCAAAGAAATGAGGAAAGGCTGAACTGGGTGGGTCGAATTAATCGATGAAAAAAAAAATAGCTCAATCGATTCCAGTCCCATGACCCTCGTAAGTTTTGCGCTTCTCGGTATCAGCGGGGTCGGTGGGTCTGGGGGTTCAGGATGCTGCGGGATTGGTCGAGATTAAGAGGATAAGGAGAAGCTACGTGACCCCAAGGACTTCCTCTTTATGTTCCTCGGCTACGAGGGATAACGGGGTTAGCCCAACAATGAAAGTAATCGAATTTAACACCATCACTCGTGCACGCACTTTGGATTTTGGCCAAGTGCGTGTACCCTGTTCTTCCCTGTACTCGTCCAATCGGTGTCTGAGCTCGTCTCGTCCACCCTGGTCCTGCGGTTCCTCGGGTTCGTCCCGTCCAAGACAGCTCCGCGACCTTCGTTATCGTGTATTCTGAGCATTGCTAAAAGAAAATAAAACGTCTGATAACGGCATTTTTTAATATTGTTACAGGTGTCAGGCAGGAACTGGAAGATGCATAGTGGACAAGGCTCACAGGAACCAATGTCAGGCGTGCCGTTTGAAGAAATGTATGCAGATGGGAATGAACAAAGACGGTAAGTGATTCAGTATCAACATAGAGAGATAATAAGATAATAAGAATGTGGCAGGTCGAGTCTTCGCGCCGGAGGGAGTTTCGCATGGGAAAATAATTGCGTCAGAATAATGCGACTGATAACAAATGTACTTTGTGACTCGCATCGGGTGTTTCAAGATATTTGCCATTTCGGGCCGAACGGGTATTGCTCATCGAATTTTGAACTTTTTTTATCAGTACCTGGACCGTGGAGATGCGCGGGACAGGAGGAAGCAGAGATATCGAGATATGAGATACAGATCGGTGGGGAAGGAACGTGCGGCAAGTTGCGCAGGTGATGGCTGTGTAGGTAGACGAATGTAGAATAGGCAACGTTATGGATCCGGGCACATTATCCGCTCGGAGAGTAATACGAGGATCAATCAGGACGCTGGGCGTCGTTCGGCGTCGTTCGGCGTCGTTCGACAGCGGGCCTTTATGTTCGCGACATAAATAACTGAGTAGAGGCGGAGCCAGCCAGTTGGAGCAGAAAGAAAAGCGATAAAGTAAAGTAAGAAGGAGCAAGAGGGAAGGATAGAGAAATCCGAAGAGAGTGTGAGAGAGAGAGAGAGAGAGGCGGGAGGAAAAACGAGCAACATGGCTCTCGATTCGATTCAACTCTTAATACTTTCTTCGAGACGAGCCGCACCTGGCGGGAAGCCGCTCTCTCTTGCTCTCTTCCTCTCTTTCTCTCTTGGCCCCTTTCTTTTCCCTACTCCCGTTCCTCGTTTCGCACGACGCTAACTTTCTTATTGCCGAACTTGATGTCGTAAGCAGGAATTGGATCGGATCCCCCCTCGGCACCCGATCCAGCCTAGACGTCGCTCGAACGATCCGAACGATTCGGAGGAGACGAATCGCCATTTTCGGGCATCTCGACAGCAGCCACAAAGAAGTCCAATAGAAATTGACGGGGAAAGGATTCCTTGAGAATTTGCCTTTCTACAGTAATAATAAATCAGGGCCGGCCCAAGTCGCCCTCGTACGAGCGAACGTCCGCCTGACGTCCTAAACGAAATCTGCGGGTTGACGTGTAATTACGAATGAATACGGAGCCGCTGGTCCCTTTGCCGTCCCCGGATCCTCAGATCCTCAGATGGTTAGATCGTTAGCTTGTAACGACCGCGAGCACGTCCATTAAGCCTAGCGACGTCCTGGCGACAACAGTTTCAGCACGCAGCCACGCTAATACATAGGTAGCCAAGCGAGCTTACACGTATACGTAATAGGTACTGGAGCACGTGTGTAAACGTATGTGGTCGCTCCTGGCGGAGCATCGCCATCGGCTTGGTAAACAGTGCGGTCGTTAGCGCGGGTCGCGTGGCCCGGCGCCCGAAGGGTTAATTGGAGGAAATAAACGTATGCAGGGCAGGGACCGAGGCCGTAGCGCGTACAGCGCGTACAGCGCGTACAGCGCGTGGAGATGCGTTTCGCCGCGCTTTTAAGCTGGCTCTCTGGGCAGACCGCCCGCGGTGTCGCGCCCCATGCAAATGAGTCCAGGGACGTTTATCTGCCGTGCGAGTGAAAAAACGGAAAAGAAAAAAAAAAGGGACGCTCGGCGCCGTGGCAAAGGGCTGCCAGCGTCGACTCTTCGACCCTATCTCCTCGTGCCTCCGTCTTGCTCACGCTCTTTATCGTTCTCTCTTCAGCTCTCTCTCTCTACCTATCCGTACGGCCGCTCTGCGAAGGAGGACGACGAGTCCCCATTACGCGACGCATCCTGCAGAAAGGTAGAGCGAGTCGGCACGTTTTTATTATTACGGAATTACTCGAGAGCGTCGCTCATGCTTGGATTCTCTAAACGGCTGGAAAATTATGTAACGCGACGCCGGGCGTCGGTCACGTATCTCTGACGGCGTCACGTCAGTCGCGGACTTTTTTTTTAAATTTGCTCACTCGAACCGGACGAGGAAGACGCGGACGGCGCCGCGACGCTTTTTTCTTGACTTGCCGCAGCAGCCTCTTCGCGTCCTTCTTCCTCCCCTTTCTGCCACGAGCTTCCGGCCTCTCTCTCTCTCTCTCTCTCTCTCGTCTCTCGAGTTGTTCCCAGACACTGTGCACGTATTAAAAATGAATCACATGGCTTAATAACTTGCATGGGAGTTGCGTAACGCTCCGGAGTTTATGGCGGGGAGAGAATGAATGCGATTTCTGGATGTCCGGCTAAATTCATCCTGTCATATGCAGACGCTTGCGTCTCCTGACGTAACGTCGGAGTTACGTCGATTCGAAAAGCGAAAAGGGAGGCGTTCCTCCTCGCTTCATTGTCAGCGACGTCGTCCTTCCCCATTGGGGACGGCGCGGGCCTCCTGCCGCAGGGAGGTTATGTCGGCAGTCTTGACAGTCTTGACAGTCTTGACAATGTTGACAATGTTGACAGGGCCGACTCGCGACTGGCAAAAAGGCCCGCGGACAACGAATTAGAAGCGATTACGGGATCGCACTCGAATACAAATTGAAATGGACGGCCTGGCTATTCAGTCGGTCGAAGGGGTGAATTCTGTAAATAAAGTCGCTCGCGGTGATCAATTGTAGATTTTGAAGTCCCGTCGATTGTTTGGCTAACGATGCCCACTCATTCTGTTGCAGCCGTTCAGAACGAGCGACAACCCAGGAACACGGCGACCATAAGACCGGAGGCCCTCGTGGAGATGGATCAGGAACGGGCACTTCGCGAAGCTGCCGTCGCCGTTGGTGTCTTTGGGTGAGTTTATAAAGTGTCCACTCTGGGCTCGAATATCAGATCGAGCCAGGCTCGGTCGTGAGGACGCTGACGATTGGTCGGCGCGTTCGTGTCGCGAGTGACGCTTGACACGTGAGAGTCGGGTGCAGGTGCAGCTGAGGTCGCACGGTGAAAAATCGAAGCTCGCGACTTACCGATTCTCTCTCGTTGGTCGCTTCCGGTGAATTCGAGTGGAATGCATTTCATTTTTTATTCGCTCGTACTAAGGGGAGCGTGTAAACAAAGGAGAGATATACACTTCGTGGATAATCGGGCAGCAGAGAGGAGCCGTTACCACGTTTGATCTTCGTTACGTCCTGCTGAACGTCGTGAACCGTCGGCTGGGACGAAGCACTGGCTCCCGCGAGCCGAGCGGAGCCGTGAATGCTCTGTCATGAAAAATTACCTTTGACCACAGGCCAGGATGCTCCAGGTAACGCGCTTCGAACTGGAATTAACGGGAAATCTATACTACCAAGGGGTGAACGTTAAAAGCAAAGTAGCCGACGCCAGCACGACGCCGTCGAAATAACCTCGAACCCATTGCCTCTTAACGATAACGATATTTATGCAAGCTCAGAGCCCTCACCGAGACAAGGGGACTTTGCTAGGAATTTTTTCTCCGTACAACTCGACTCGCACGCTCTTCCCTCATCTTCTCTCTCTTCCACGTGCGACTCCGGAATCAGCTGACGTACGAGCCAAGATTCAGTACCGAGTCGCCATTTATGATCTGAGCGAAAATCGCTCGCGCCCTCTCGCGCGGCGAAGGGATGTCGCTCACTTTTCCCCGACGACGGCGACTCTCCTGCGTTGGGGTCTCGACGTCCGGACTGTCGCCGATCTTTCTCTCGATGTGTATCGGCGCTATGGGCGGAAGCGAAGACCTCACGTCGTGCTCAGATCTCACGAACTTCCGGGACGTCTCGACTATCCTCGCCGATGACTCCGGTTGACGATCGTACGAATATCCTCTCTCCAGATTCTCCGATTTTGTTTTACGTATCAACCGAGCCACCTGCCTCTTTATGTCCATCCTCACGACGTCCTCCTCCAGAACCGTCCTCGAGGTATTCGGGTGCCTCGTGACCGCGTCGAGCATCTCCAGGAGCTGATCGAACGACGAACAAATTTCGTTGAGCGATTCCTGGCTGACCAACAGGCAGCCGCGAGTCTCCATTTCCTTTTCCTTGAGAGCATTCTCCAGGTCCAGGAGGTCGTTCTTGGTTGACTGAAGCTTCGCCTCGGCCAACTCTCTACGCATTCTTTCCTCTTCAAGAAGAAGGTCGTTCCTCTTGATATCCTCCAGGAGACGCTCGTGCTCCGATCTTGCTTCGGACAACTGCCGCAGTATCTCCTCGATCTTATTCGTATCTTTTTCTCGCTCCGTTACCTTGTTCTCCGGTTCATCCTGCACCTCCATGCTCGTTGCTGGGCAAATCTGCGACTGAAGATCTAGGTGCAAGGTCGGCTTCGCTTGATTTTCTTGAGACTTCGTCGCCGATTCCAGCTCAGATTCCTGACTCGGCGTCGAAGGTGGCGCTGGAACCGTTCTCGGCTTCCTGGGTAAATTTGGCAACGTTATGATCCTTCTTGGCAGAATTGCCTGACAAGTCCTCTTGGTCGGACCGTTCGCAGTCTTCGGTCTGGTGCCTTCGATCTTTTTATTTTTCTCCCAAGCATTTCTCTTGGCACCGGCCGACGCGGTTCTCTTATCTTTCTGAGGCAAAACCAGCCAGCGATACTCTGACCTGCCGCTGGCGTTGTTGCTCTCTAACTTGGCAGCAATTTCCTTTATCAACTCCTCGCTCATCCCGTTCAATCGGACATCCACCACTGTCAGAGTGGTGTTGCTACCCAGTATAGAGAGTACGTCATATCCGGTTGAATCGGTAAGACCACAGCTCTGAAGGTCCAACGCCTTCAGCCACAAGCTGTCCCTGACCACCTCGAGGACTTCCTTCACGGCGACGTCCCCGAGTTTCGGATTCCCATTGAGAGTGAGTCGTCGCAATCCTGGCATCGCTTCTAGGTTCGGTTCACGATACCTCAGGGACTGCTTCCAAGTGTCATGGTACAGCGACAGCTTCTGCCTTGACAGGGCAGCAGCCACCGCAGCGCCGCTCTGACAACTGAGGTCGCACTGAGCCAGATTGAGCGACCTGATGCTCCGGACGTCGGCTATGGTGCGACAAATCAGCTGACAACTTCCGTCGCCGATGTAGCATCTCTGCAGGGACAGATGCTCCAGGCTCTGGCTGGAGGCGAGACCCACGCTCAGGACCGCAAGGCAATCCGCAGGAAACGGTATACCCTCGAGCTCGAGGCTGGTCAGGGCCACTGAATTTCTGACGCACTGAGCCACGCTGTGCGACAGCCATTCCAGAAGGAAACGGGTCAAGACCACTGGAGCTTTTCCAATCGCCCGGGCCTTATCCTCCGAGTTGACTTCCTCCAGAGGCTTCCGGCATTGGTATCTGCTGCGCACGCTGATGGACTTCAGGGTACGATCGAGCGACAGGGAATTCAGAATAGGACCCCAGTCGTCCATCTTGACTCGATCCGTCGTAAAGTCGAGATGATGGGGCAGAGTGACGCATATCACCGGAAGTGGACGCAGCCTCTGCTGCTTGCACAAGTCCATGTAGCACGTAGCAAAACTCTGCGCCATCTTGATAAATCCTTAGGAATTTAAAGGAATCTTGAGAACTCTTGACAGGACTCTTCTCCACTGTCAATCCCCTCGCTTGGCCTGGCTTCTGCTCTGGTGCCTGACGAACGAGCGAACGTCATTTGCGAGAATATATTTCCCTATAGAACCCTAGGTCTTGTGACCTCGCGAACCTTGTCCCCCGCGTATCGCGACCTCACGAGTGACATATAAAAAAAAATATTAAACCGAGTGACGGCATGAATTACAACGCGAGACCTTACTGACAAACGAAGTCTGCTACGTAAATCGTTCCAGCCACTACGCTCGCGCTCGTTCGTTTTTACAGAGACACGTAGAATGGGAGCTACGCACACCGATCAACACGATCCCCTCTTAATTATTCCATAATAATTTCGTTACAGTCCACCCGTTTCCCTGGCGATGGCCAGATACGCCACACCCTTACCCCTACCGGCCGTAGCACCCACGTCGAATTCAACGTCCACCGCGACTCCTCCCCGTCAGGACGTCGACGACGGTAAGTATCGCCAGAGTCCAGGACAACTAACTGCTGCTACAAATCGGATCTAAAGTCGAATTAAACTACTGTCCAGGAAACGGATCCGAGGACAGTATAGACGTGACCAACGAGGAGCCGCTGACACCCCAACGGAGCGGATGTACCCAGCTGCCACCGGTGGTCCCGTCCCTCTACTCGCCAGCCAGCGCAGAAACGGTGTACGAGACGAGCGCGAGACTCCTCTTCATGGCCGTCAAGTGGGCCAAGAATCTACCGTCGTTCGCCAGTCTGCCATTCAGGGACCAGGTCATCCTCCTCGAGGAAGCGTGGTCTGAACTCTTCCTCCTGAACGCCGTGCAGTGGTGCCTCCCTCTGGAGTCCTCGCCGCTCTTCAGCGCTGCTGAACTCACGGCACTCACCCTCTCGCCCCACCCCCACTCCCACCACGGCATGCATCATCTTCAAACAGGGAAGCCTAGTCAGGTCGCTGCCGACGTGCGACATCTTCATGACACTCTTCAGAGATACAAGGCTGTTTTGGTCGACCCTGCTGAGTTCGCTTGTATGAAGGCCATCGTACTCTTTCGACCAGGTGAGATCATTCGTTCCTAACTGGGTTTTTTTTAGACTTGTCCAAGGTCCTAAAACAGTCCCTGTACCTCAGACGAGATGATCCGTTTGCGTAGATCAGAATGTCAGCGTGGTTCACGTGCAATTGGACTTTACACTACCTTGTTGGCTCCCAACTATGTTACAGAGACACGTGGCCTCAAGGACTCGAGTCAGATCGAAAATCTGCAAGATCAAGCTCAGGTGATGTTGGGTCAACATGCGCGCGCGCAGCAGCCCGGAAGTCCGGCGAGATTTGGCAGACTACTATTGTTGCTGCCGCTCTTGAGATGCGTGCCGGCTGCCAGGGTGGAGCTGATCTACTTTCACAGAACCATCGGCAACACTCCCATGGAGAAAGTACTATGCGACATGTACAAGAATTGAAGCACTTCCTGGGTCCGAACCAAGATGGACTCTCGTCCCGAAACGGAAGACAACATCGTCATGCCCGACGACCGATGAACTATTCGAAATGAACGTTTCAAGGCTGTGACGTAAAATTCGATTCTCGCGAAGGCGTCGTCGCGCTTCTCTTCTTTGTTCTTTCGCGTGTTTAAACGAGAGCGAGAGAGAGAGGGAAGGACACGGGATACGTGTACGGTGAGGTTTATTTACAATTAGTGCTTAACGGCCACGGCCTCCTCTACCTTGAGTACTTATGATGTATGATATAGTCTTTAAAGTTCCAACACTTAAGGGTACACATTAAGGTATTAAACGCATGGCATCTAATCGGCACAAGGAACGATTTAACGATTAAAGATATTTATGTATTTATTTATTATATAACTATTTACTCCAAGCTAGGACTTAACGATGTCGACGAATATTACAGTGGTACAGGGTCGGAGAAGATGTACGAATGTTTTCTTCGGATTGTCGCCAGGCGAGTCTGAGGGGACGAAAAAGAAGATGAAAAATATTAAATCCCGTAATGCAATAGAGAGTTAACACGCGCGGACGCTATAGAGCGTCGATTCGATGACCGATCGGAAGTAACATTATTTTACTGGCGCTCTTTGAATACCGTCGAATTAAATTCACGGTGGCGGACATTTTTGTCAATTTCAATTAAGAGGCGATCACTTGCAATGTCACACATATGTCTGATCTTCACGCTGTAAACCTACCTAACGACACACGGATAGCTAATCGTGCGCCAGCGTCTAAAAAGTCATTTTAGACGTTCACCCTGTATATTTCGTGTTGTGATACTGTTGTTGTAAAATTGTACGTACCTATCCGGTGATACATATTGTAACGGCTACGTTTTTTTGTCCTTATAATAAAAGTAAGCACAACCAGATGGATCGGTCGGTTTTTCATTAGAGCGAATATATTTTTATCATAAGATTAGTAAAATTATTCGAATAGCGATGCAAGAATGCGGATTCGCATAGCTATGGGTATATCCGGGGGATCGTTTTCACGGTGGTTGTGCAAAGGTACATATTTATTTATCGCCATGTAATCCCTGACTCCCCCGTGCACGGGGGTTGCCACATGGCAGTTTGACGGTCCCTGCGGTACCCACGGCGCTCATAAATTACATCGAGTTGAGCGAGGTTTAAGGGGCTGCTTAAGTTGTCAAAGCCGTCGGGGAGTTAAACGGTAGAATAAGGGTGCTCGGATTAATGCGTTTTCAATTACGCCCTTTTGCAATTTTCTGACTTTACGAATATATACATACATACACATCCCCCGCAAGAAGCCCAAGATCTTCGTGCAACTTGGAGCCCGCCAAAATAATCCTTATTCAAAATTCAAATTTTTTAATAATCGAAAAAAAATTGTATCTGTTCAAAATATAGCCTATATTCTTCGAATGTGTAAAATAACGTGCCAAGTGTTTTTTTTTTTTTTTTTCACGAGAAAGGCTAGAAATCTGGATACGCTCCACTGAACCTGCAGATTGTATCTTGGGGTCAGTGATCCTGCGGCTCAAGAAATTTCGAAATTTTGATCGAAAAGCGCTGCTTGGCGAGGATGGCAATGCTGATGACTATGGTGTTGCTGGTGGTCCATTCGACATGGTAGGGATGCTGCTGGTAGTATTGACTCGGTTTTGCGTGAGAGGGCGGAGTTTGTCGAGCTCCCCCAAAAGCCCCAAAGGTCCTGGAAGCGGCGGAAGGAAGGGGAGTCCCCTTCCTCTGGCGGCCTGGTATTACCAACTGGTAACAAAACTCCGGCTGAAGGCTGACCCAGCAATGGCGGCGGGACTTGTTGTATTTCGCTTTCGAGGTAAGCTCCGTTCCCTTCTACCGTCTCGATTCCTCGCCCCTCGGCCAAAGCTGCTTGTAGATGCCATTCGGCTGAAGTCGCGTCTCTTCGCCTGCCAGGAGGCTCCGAAGAGCTGAAGAGGACGAAGAGAGAGAATGAGAACTTTGAAGAAAGAAGAGGAGCCAGCCGGAGAGGCTATATCGTAGGGAAGCAGCCTCCATTTATTTTATTACATTATCATACCAACTAGGCGCTCGATAAGTGGGGCTTTAAAGCAACGGTTCTCAAACTGTTTAGAAATCTTGGATGGAGTTAAAGTTTAAAGTTCAATTTAAAATCCATCCCGGGCTGATTTTCACAACGCAAAGTCGCATTGTGACTTCAAATACGTTTTCCCTTTGATACAAGGTTTGGATTTTAACCTAAAAAAAAAAAATTCACATTTTGTCATTTTCCCCTTTAATTCACGATTGAGATAAATAGACCAAATTTTTTTTTTTTTTTATATCATAATTGTACGTTCAATGGGTACCATCTTACAGACGATATTCAAATACATACTCGCAGCCAGTCTATCGAGGATCGGTCTTCATCCAGGCTCCTGGGGCAATCCGAAAAATCCCTGGGAATTTTTCATCCGGCCTTAACTCCAGGTTAGCTGACGTTTAAGAAATCACGTTCCCACCTCACGTACTTGGAGATTACCCGAGCATTCGCCTTTGAGGAAGAGGGTGGGTCCACTTCATCCAAGGATATCTACAGGCTATATTATGTCATCGTCGGTGCATTTTTAACTTTTAGATAGCAAATCATACTTATCATACATATATATTACATAATCATAGTAAACTGAGATCATAATTTCTGGCTTTGGACCAATTCGAATCCTCGTTGAACGAATATGGTACGAATTGTACAAAGCAAAGAGATTGTGGATTTGTATTAGAAAATCCGTAGGTTCGTCCTTTGGAATAGTGATAGAATCCGAAAAATTCTATTAATCTCCCTCCTCTGGTAGTCTCATAACTTGGAATTGTCGATATGTCAGGGTGAAGCTTCGCCGGAAGAGCTTCCAGTGCTAAAGCTCATGGAGGATGGAGTTGCAACGGTCACAACAGTCTGTCCTGTCGAGCAGGTTCATTCCCTCGTTCTGAACCTCTCCCACCACCCCCCTCGACCTCGGACTCCCACAGCCTCCCTGACTCTCCGTCGGCATCCCTACTGCCTCATCCTCCCGGTTCTCCCTCTTTCCAAAAATCAATAGATACGCTGCCGACTAACACCGCAGACATCGTGCAATATCGCTTTGTCAGAGTCCTACCTGCCTGAGATTGATTATAGTTTTTTCATTTATTTCATTTGCCGATGATAATTGCAAGTGAGCTTGTCTGTGAAAAAATATGCTCAACGGATTTGGTTGCTGCGTAACGATGATTTATGGTTCGGGTCCTTTGAGAGTCGTGTGAAATGCACAGAGAAAAAGGGATACGAGTGCCTGTGAGGATTTTTGTAGTTTCTGAGAAAATTTTTGGTTCAGAGGCTGCGCGCAGTCTTGTCGATAAGTTTTGGTAATTCGGAGGGACCGCAGTTACGTTTACTTGGGTTAGTCGGGACAGCTGGAAACCTTTGTACTTAGACGGCTCTACTCGCGAATCCGCTAAATTCAATTTGCCTTTAAACAAAGAGCATTAGTCGTGTAACTTAGCCTTGCGTAAAATTTTAAGTCGAAGGGGCTGCTGAATCTTTTTGGGGATCGACGCTGATCTCGAGGGGCGTACCTCTTTTTAGTCACTTCAAAGAACATCGAGCTGAGGACTTATCTTCAAACGAATTATGATGACCCGATCGAAGTGAGGGCAACGTTCAAAATGAAAAGAGGAATAATGGCTGAAAACCGAGTGACTCGCAATCGGGAGACGAGTGTATGTTTTAAGAATGAAAATTAAAAATATTTTTCGATGGGAAACTGGAAATTTAATAGGTCTCAGTGTGGCACAATGTTTATGCCAAAATGGTACTAAAAATTTGACACTTCTTTAGCGAGAAAATATTTGCTGCTTGTACACTTCGAGTTAGCAGCCTTCTCGATGACGCGTCGGTACGTTAGATTTTTGAAGCACAAAAGACACGGAAATGCCTAATCTATTTATATTTCGTCAACGCTTATAGCGTTTTCCATTTGACTTCATTTATTGCACTGGGCGTATTGTGCCTGTTCGATTTGTGGGATTATTAAGCTATCGAGATTCTTATGCTTGATCCTAATTTTGGGTGTGTACTAAATTACACTGAACTGCGATTGGGTTTACCTACCGAGTACATCCTACTATGGCGCTCGGGCCTTGCAAGGTTTGCAGCCTGCAGATCCATGCACAACCGACGGTCGGTAAGATAGCGGCGAAAGATACAAATTTATAGGTTTTTAATATCTAAATAATTGCTACCTAAATGCTTTTTGTTTTTCATAGTTGCTTCGCTGCTATTATACAATGATTAAGAAAGATTTATTAAAACTTAGAAATCAGAAATCCTGGCCAAGAGTATTTAGAAGTACTGGAAGTTGCCGAAATTTGACTCGTGAGTGGGGGGGAGCCGGGGAGTGGGGGAAGCACTTATCGCATCGCCCGGACTCGAAGCGCTCATTCTTCCTCGAGTCGGTCTCCTAAACTGGTCTGATCGAAGCACCCGTCTTATCCATTTCCAACTTTCTTCTCTATATTTATTTCTTCTTATCTACCTTTATACTGCTCTTCTTTACTTTTTTACTTCTTAACTTCTTTATTTCTATCTTCCTTTCTGTCTTCTCGTTTCACTACCACTTTACATTGTGCTTGTTTTATTTCTCCTATTTCTTTGGTCGGGTCGAGCATATTCATTGGAGTAGTCATATAAGGGTAGTCAACCTGTTAGAGTAGCTATACGTATTGACTGTGGTGTCATTCCGTCGGCGGTAGACGCTCAACTCACTGAGTTTACTCGGTGAGAAGTGGCAGAGATTTTAGCGTCAAATATTGTCCCTCGGGTCGTTCTGGCGGTGCTCGGAAGGACGCCGTCGTGTGCTACGCCCGTGGTCTTTCGTTGTGGTGAATCTTGACCAGGAGTAGGCTCTTCGCGTTTAACTTACCTTTTGCGTTTTTCTTGTCGCTCCACTCGACTTCCTTTCCTTTCCGAGGTTTTCCCTCTAGTCCTGTGCGCAATATCCGTAGTACTCGGAGGTTTTCCTCAATAAAAAAAAACACGGCCTTCTGTGGGGCTTCGAAGAGGCCGTAGCTCCCTTGTCAAGAGGTAGGGCCCCACGGAAGAGGGTGAGGAGGAGGCCATTTCGCTCCCTCATTATTCCTACTTTTCCTAGTGGTATGTGACGCCATCTCTGCGAAAAATAGAAAATAAAAAATCTTTACCAAAAACTACTTCTCTTTAAAACCCAAACCGAAATCTATTAAATTCGAATACCAAAACTGAAAACCGTAATCGAAAAATGGTGAATGACATACCCAAAACCGAAATTCAATCTTTTACCATTTTGAATACCGTCACCGAACCGATATTTCTTTCAGTTGTAGTTTCTGTTAAGGTATTACTACGGTAAACTCAAAACCGAGTAATCGAGCTGAAATGTGTTTTACGTCTAATTTGTATAGCAGTACATCTCTCTACAAAGTTTTAACACGATTCACTCATCAGTTTCCGAGTATTTCCGAGTTAAAGTCAGAACTCGTAACACGTATTCCCTATACCTGGCTAATAAAACGCGCATGGTTTTTTTTATTGCATTTGACTCGTCCGCGTAATTCCGATGAAAAACTAGTATATGGCAAAGGAAAAAATTTGGAATTTTTTAGATTTTTAGTCAGAACTTTTTACTCATAGGATTTATTGATAGACATGAAAAAAGTTCGATATTTATTAAAAAATCTCTCGTACGACTGCTAGACAAAAGAGCGTCACGGCAACATTGCGTTTGAGACTGTATTCGGTGTATATACGTATACACTGCTACATCCAATGTACATTAGTGTGTGCCTATCGATGCAGGGATGGGCGTGGGTGAGTGAACTGTACCAGTTCAAAAGTTGACGCTGGATTGTTCAAATCTTACATTGAAACTTTTGTTATTTTTCGGTCCGTAGTAATACCTTAAGAGCATATAAATTTTTATCTTTTGACGCTAACTTCCCGACGGTTTACACCCGCTACAAGAAATTTCGACGAATCGAAAATGGTATTACTCGCTTTGTTTAGTTACGCTTTGTTTAGACACCTTATCCCTTGCTTATCAACGACTGAGTGCAGTTCATGCGGGTTAACAATGTAATAGCTGCTTCAAATCGCAGGTGGCAGCACTCTCGACAATCCGTCTTTATATTAAATTTGCAAAATACGAAATACGTGAGAATTGCTTAATCTATTTACCTTTTGTTAAGAGTTTAAATATTTGGTCACGACGGATTCCTATCTCATTTAAATAGAATTATCAAACAGACACAAAGATTCCTTAGCAACTATTTCCTGATAGAGTGCGCCCTATGCATATTCGATAAAATCTTGAACGCTGTTAACATTATTTCAGTAATTTTAAGAACACAGAGATGGCGGCGCTTATAAAGTCTTATGTTATTATAATTAAAAGAATAAATAAATCGATTTAAGCTATTTCATCATACTCGGCCTGTAGAGAAATGGATTATTCACACTTTATTGTACGAAAGGTTGAAGGGGTTTTGTAGGCACAATAAAGAAAAATAAGGTTTTAAAGGTTAGGACGGTACTTCGATGCCGTGTATCATGCTAATGCAAGAAATCGGTGTTTCAGAAAGTTACAATGTTGTCCTTAGGAATTTGTAGAAATGTTCGTCGAGCTAACTTACGAGAAATTGGTAAATGTACAAAAAGTGAAGCGATTGTCCGATTTGGTAACAGATATCTTAGATTGGAAGCTGGAGTTGTATCAATACCTCAAATGGATAACTTAAATCAATATAGAAGTTACAGCACTGAGCCTAAACCACAACAAAATATTCGTTTGCCACAACTCTCAGACTTCCCAATGCTGTTTTGGCCAAATTTCTTTAAATCCATTCGCAATTTTATTCTTGTTCATATGGTGATTAAACCATACATGGACAATGAATTTAATTTACAAGAATTTGTTGCAGCATCAAAGCATGTAAGCTGTCTCATCTATTAACTTACAGTTAGAATAAAATTACATTAATATAATTACTATATTTCTGTTTAAGGCTGTGTCTCGAGTGTCTAGAGCATTAGCGATGGAAGAATATGAAAGCTTGGAAGGTCTGGTAAGTGATGAGTTACTAGCAGACTTGAAATCAAAAATAAGTAATTTTGCACTGCGACAAAGAACTCGTCTTGCTGTTGAGAAGGAGGATATATATATGTGTTTTCCATATGAAGTTGGCGTCATGTTCAAAGACGAAGGTAAGTCATTTTACAAGTGGTCTCACATGAAGAAATTTACTATTTTTAATTTTTCTTCAATAGACTCCAAAAGACGCTTTGTTGAAATAACAATGATCTATCATGTAATGACTGGTATTGGAAAAATGCGAGCCGAGGGTGAACTAATACCTATAAACATAGGAACGATGCCAGAGTATCAAGAAAAAATGTATATTCTTAACTATCGTTTTATACGAGAATTTACCAGTGGCGTTCAAACACCTTGGGTCATCAACATGATCAACCACTTCATGCCCATTGATAACTTGGTAAGTTTGCAAGACCAACATATTAGTAACTTTCTTTAATGCAGATCTAAAGTGATTATGTTGAAAATAATTGTATATAATTTTCCAGAATTGACTAAGTATAATAAAGAGACAATCGGATCCTGTGTTTATGATTAAAACTATATTAGTATGAAATAGACTACCTTCGCTTTCCTGATAATGATTCAGTGGATCCACTCTTAGGTATGGAATTATTTTTCATAATAGCAGACACGACTTTTGGTTAAGTATAGCCAAAGTATGGTGTCCTAACTCATCATAACTTTATAGAATTATCTAAAGATCAATCGCATTAACAGCTCTGTAAGTGTATATATAACCATAGATACATATAATTCTGTACAATTCATGTAAAATAGAACTTAAAGTAATGATAAAGAAATATCTTAAAGGATTTAAGTAAAAAAAAAAACTAAAAAGAAATCTTTAAATGAAGATTAGTCAAGCCATCTGCATCTGCCCTTTTCAGTCTTCTATACATACAAAGAGAAGTTTTATAAATAATTACTTCGTTCAAACTCCACACGCTTGTTCAAGTTCATGTAATAAACAGGGAATATAATCATTCATATTAAACTCTATAGTTTCCAATTCATTCCCATTTCTACAAATCGATATAATTACACGTCCCTGTAAAAAAAAAACCTCGTAAACAAGTGCCAAAAATGGAAATAAACATATAATTATTTGAAATAACTATATTAAAATACCTTGCTCGTTTGGGGGTTGTACAGTATACATTCATTTTTCCCAGGAAACGAATACAAGTTGTTTGGATCCGTGGGAAAGCGGTTACGGAAACTGACCTCATAATTGTTTACATGAGCGACAGCAATTCGTACAATGTTTAAGTAGGGCAGTTCGAAAGAGCCCACAGTAATTTTGCACTCTACACCCAGTCGTGTAAAAGTTTGCAGAATTGTTCTTGTAGGAAAAGTTATCAGCGTTGATAAACTCTTAATGGCTGTGGAGGAATAACCTGACAGAGAAATATAAATCTTATCGATGCTGGTTCCCCTTTAATTACAATTTTTATTAGAAGCAATGCATAAAATTATAGTCATCAAACAAACCTTCATTTATCATGTCCGTAAGTCGATAAGGTTTGACAACGATGGATGTTAATTGTGGTATTTGATCACGTTCTCTACCCTTCAGTGTTTTTTCTAGAGCTGTAAGTACAAAGTGTATTGAATAAGGGGACACCAGTTGAAATATATAATAGAATAAAGATGCTCTCTTACATATTTGCACTTGCTTGAACATTTTGGTAACGGGCACGGTGGATTTAATATATTTACTAAGATGCGTCACATATAATCCAAAATCATTGGCCTTCCTTTCATAACTTGGACAATGCCTGGATGTCGAGTAGGCACGAATTAAATTCCTCCGATTTTTTTTACTTTTGTATTCATATATAATTGGTATTTCCTTATGTATTTCTGGATTATCGTCCCTGTGAGGTTTCGAGTACTGATACTAAGTATTTGAAGTAAAATAAATAAGCAACCTACCTCGAAGGAACAATCAGGCACATGTCCAAGATCACAACTAGTAGAGTAGGATCAGTTTCGAGGTGGGCCATAGCTAGTAATTGACTATCACAAATGGCGTCAGTGCGAAGATATTTTTTCGGCGAGTCGACAGCAAGCATGTAATTGTCTTGCATGTTAAAACCATGACCAGCAAAATAAAATAATCCTGAATGAGAGTAATGATTAAATGAAAAAATTTAAATATTGTTGCAGCTAAAGATTAGCGTACCGTAAACGCCCTCTGATAGAAGTTTGCAAAATATATTAATGGCATTTCTCATTTGGTTGACGGTGAGATTTGAAAGGCAAATTACGTTGAATCCAATATCCTCCAGGAGACGAGCTATTAGGGCAGCATCATTCTTAGCCTTTTTCACCGGGTCGAAGTTTGTATAATCGCTATTCGCAATTAGCAGGGCAACTTTCGCGACTGCTTTGCATCGCGTTTGTTCCATCTGTTTCAGTAAAAACAAACCGCTTGTGGTATTGACAAAGTCGTAGCAGCACAATGCAATGATAATAAGAAAGACAAAAAAGCACAGATTGCAGAAAATTTCGATTAAATTCTTACCTTGACCGTGGTACTATTGCTATACAAAGAACTAATTTCGTTCACAATGTAACAACGATATACATCCTCATCTTGAACGCTAAAATCATTTATCTAAAACATACCTTTTTCCTATGTCAAACATTTTCGTAAATTATAAATATATGTAGTATATTATCTGCTGCGATATTTCGTACTCACGCGTAATTCAATAGAATCTTGACCATTCAATAAAATATTGTCTCTGAACCACTGATAACGCGGCTCAGGGTGACCAATGGCTTTACACGTTAATATTAACGTGCCCCCTTCCTTCACCTCTATATATTCTCTAGGTTGTTCGATAATTACTACCGGCAATGGTTTTATTTTAAGGTAAAACGTGTCAGAAAATAATTGTCTCATGAGATAACCATCGCGATCCCTTTGCATGACTTGGCATTTGTATTCACCCTCTTGAGTGGTGCTGAAAATTTCGTGGCAAACGGATCAATGCAATCTGTTTGAAAATTTAAATAGTTAAACATTTTATTACCTTGTAACAACAATATTAAGATCGCCATTTGTTTCATTCTCCAACTCCACGTTATTGTGGTACCATAAATATTGAGGTGGTGGCAAACTTGTAGCCTTACAACTTAAAGTGATGCCTTTGTGAGGTGCTATCATTGCATTATCTTTTCCCAACTCGGACTTCGGTTGTTTGACAATCGTCAAAGGTTCTATGAAAGCATTATTATGATAAATGACGATATCAAAAATCAATAAAAATCTGTTCGTTAGAATTTGCATTAATACCTGGATAACACAGAACCGACAACGCATTCAAAAGTTCACAATTTTCCAGTAGAATACAAAGATTGCCTACATTACATAATCTTTTGTCGAGTTCATCAAATAATTTTTGAATTTGCCTTCTACTGTCTAAAGGGTTTTGTTCTCGTTCAAAATCATTCATCCATGACAGGCTAAATATAATATTGCCATGAATCAGTTGAATACACAATGGCATACGTATATCGAATACTTTAATGCTGTCAAGTTCATACCTAAATATATCATACTCGTCAGCAATGTATCGTGCAAGAACGATCCACCCTAAATCCCTGCTCAGTTCATCAATTAGTTCCCTGTGTACGTCGAATGGTAAATCTGGGATTCTCATTTTTTCGTCATATTTTGCCATTTTTCAGTTGAACAGACACAGCACAGTAGGAACACAATAAACAACGAATTAAACACAGTATGAAATGTAATCTATGGTGGGGCAACATACGAGTCCTACGATTCTGATTAAGGAAAGTCGCCCGAGTGACACAATAACCATTTTCCTCCTGCTACGCATGAAAAGTTGGCGTTGTAGGCAGTAAGCAACACGTGCCACATAGTACGTGCATTTTCGATGTTGCTATCGGTCATAGGCATAAAGGCCATGCGAAAAGAGCAATTTTTCAGAGTTTCATATTGGCACGAAGTATCCTTGACGTTTGTCGTAGGTCTTTACTACGTCTTAAGAACAAGACAACGTCTCGACGCTCACGTGATCGTCTGTCGATAATGCAGAGACGCCTTGTTCTCTGATGTTTCGCAAAACAGCTCGTGACGATGCAAGATCTACAGTTTAGTAAGCTCGTCGCTTATTTCGACGTTTGTTAAGCATTCGAGATTTGCCACTTGCGACACAAGAATTATTTATTTTATTTCTGTTGTAACAATCTCTTCTAAACGTCACGGTAACGAGTTCGTTTGGTTGGTCTCGACAATGTCGCGAGAGAGGTCACCGCTGCCTCGAAAATCGATAAAGGAAGAAAAGAAAGACAGAAGACAGACGTTTTGACGACGAGCAACGCCCTCGGCAGTTCGGATGCTCCCAGGACAAAGTCGTGGAATATCACGGAGGACAGCAGTAGAGCATTCGATATTTCGGAGTAATGTAGCGACTCCAAGAGAGTAGTCCATGTTGCTGTCAGGTTCGGTTTTTTTATATGGATAGGTGAACACGTGGGAAGAGTGCACGAGTGGTCTGACCGATAAGGCAGAAGTGCAGGCAAGAAGGCAGCGAGCCAGTGGACAGATAACCCAAAGTAGAAAGTAGAAACATGAATCGCTAGAAGCACAAGACGACATGAACGACTCGGTCTAGAAGAAATGGTGAATCGGAGTCGAAACATTGAAATGGTGGGAGTTTCTTTTGGCAACTCCAATTGGTTGGGTCTTAGCGACGACGCGTTGTATGTGAGTTAGACTTAATTTACGGTGAAAGTTACCGTCATTACGTTACGCTGCATTTCATGTGCCACGGGCTTCAACTGCAACGACGCGAGCTTCATGAACGAGGAAGGAAGAGTGCAGAGGAAAAAGCCCGAAAAGGGTGTACGGAGGGCAGAGTAACAGGGTGACAAGATAGGAATAAAAACTGTGAGCTTTCGGAACGCGGCTCCGAGGCTCGCTACGTTTTTACGAGAGGAATGTAAGAAGGTGGGGATCCAGGGCGACCAATCCGTCCGCGGAAAACGGTCCCTGCGCGATGCGCGTGGCGCGCTGCGCCGTATAATCTTGCGTATCAGTTATCGTCGGACCATCCAGAAGGCAGTGGTACGCTCCTCGGAAATTGAAGAACCCTTATTGGTGCGATTGGTGCAAAGGAACGCGAGGAACAGTGTACAGTTGCAAGTCAAAAATCCAGTGCCAGAGCCATCATGGCGAACCCTCGGAAATTCAGTGAAAAGATCGCACTCCTGAATCAGAAGCAAGCCGAGGAGACAGCCGCGTTCGAGGCTATCATGCGGGCGGTTTCGGATGTCACGAGCAGAGTAAGAGAACCCAATAGTTTTCACCGGGACACGTCGCGACTAACGTCCCGACCCGGACGTTAAAACGTAAACAACGAGTGCTCCTCATTGCCCGTTCACTGTGTGCGCGCGTACCTGTGTCTTCCTTGAGACTTACACAGTCATCGCCGAGGATATACACACACGTGTCACCATACATACTCACATATATTCACACACGTCTCTCTTCTTGTTCCTCTTCCTCTTCCTCTTATCTTTCTCCCTTCTACTTTTCACAGTTCTCATTCTCCCTCTCCCTTCCACTTCTTCACATGTCGCCTCTCTCCCACCCTCCCTCGCTCGCTCGCTCGCTCGCTCTCACCACTCGGCTTATCCACTTCTCTCTCGACTCGTCCACTGTCGTTGTCCTCGTCGTGCCCAAGGAAATCCTACGACTTCGGCGGGAAACATCTCGCCTCGCCACTCTCTAAGAACATGAACCGTCTGCGGCATGTTACCCCTGTGCTGTGCCACACTGCCTTTCCTTCCGTTTCTTTATTTTTTTTTCCTTCTTCCTGACATTCTTTCCGAAATTTACACACTGTATACACGCACTAGTCACTGAAGCGAAACACCATCGAGCGAGTTTCGTTGCTCAATGGCTCAATGGTACCAGCTAGGAAACTAATGAAAGTTCAGCAAAAGGATCGACCAGTCACGTTAAAGTGAAGCATCCGTGTCTTTGGTCCATGAATCGAGCGATTTGACATCCATGACGCGATTCCACGCGAGTTCGACTTTGACAATAAACCATGTGCGTGACACTGTTCCCCATTTTTTTCTCTTTATTCCCAAGATTTCCTACAGCATTTTCAATGCGCGCGTTGTGGACGGTTGAGTAATCGCGTTACTTATTTACACTTTATACTTATTTACACTTATACTTTCTACTTATTTACACTTAAATAATCGCCTAGGCCAATTACAATCATTCGGGTTTATTTCTTAAACCTATGATACATCTTGATCTCGACAAATTTTTATTTAGTTCCAATTTATGTTCTGACCTGTCAAAATTTTCTTGGTCGTTCAATGGCTATTACGATCGTTAGCATTCGTGACCGGTGTAGATAAGATACCCTGAAATTTCAAACTTTCCTTTGGGGCCGTAGGAGGAAAAGGAGGAATAAGAAAAATTGAGTGAGTATCCCAAAGAAAATATCCTGTCCGAAAACCTCGACAGTTTCGACAGGGATGACTTGAGCCTACTCCTCCTCCTCTTTGTCATTCGGTATTTTAGCCAGGGGTGAAACCTCCCTCAATTTCCGTGTAAAGCCTCAACACTGCAACTAAATTAATTCCATTAATCAAGTTTGCCGATTCGCTTCTGTTGCCTGACACTTTTGTAAAATTCCATTGGAAGACAGTGACTTTGCTCCGTTGTGCGTTTGGCTTTTCGCTTTCATATATGTCCGACGTGAATTTCATCAATCGACACTAAAAGTTATTGTCAAGCTTTATAACTAAATTTATTCTAGTTCAATTTCCCGTCTTTTTCTAGAATACTTACAAGTTCTCATTGTATCACTGCTATTGGAATATTCGGTATGTTTTTACCTTTATAAGGCTTTTGTGAAAAAATAACTGTCCAAAGAACGTGGTTCTTTCGGAAATATATTTTACTGTCAACTTTTTTGTCTTCGCTGCTCCGTTGACCAACGGCATTTCGAAATCGCTGTATGAAACCAGTTTAAGAATCTCTGTTATGACGCTGCTATTTAATCACGTTAATTTCCATGTCCTATGAAAATGATTGTGCCTATTGACTGTGTTATACCTGGTCGAGTGAAAGTACGGAAAGTCAAGCATAGAAAGTGTCGATCGTCGCGTCGATGTATTATTATATTTCTTTTATTTTAATTATCCTTTTCTAACGAATACTTAGAACTTGACAACAACCAGTTGATCGTTAGTTTTTCCACTCTTTGTTCTTCTATTAAAATTCTTTTATTTAAATTCTTTGGAATTCTCATATTTTTGTATGAGAATGAAAAATATGCTGAAAATAGAAATGTTATGTTTCACCCGTCCTGTTCGTAGACTGTGGTAGAATCTTAAGGTCGAGGCAACCTTATCTTTCCAGGCAAAATAGTTTATCTTATTTGCGCTTGGTAAATTCGATTTCGTTTATTAACCGTTACAACCGTTTAGTAAAAACGACAGATTACGTATCTGTATGATTTTTCTCGAGGATACGTTGCGTTCTCAATATTGCATTCTGTAGGATTTATATATATATATATATATATTTTTCATTACCAGTCACTTTTTGGATTATCTCAAAATCCGTGCAGTTCGCTCTGAAATAAGAAGTCTATTCAGTAGCAAATCGATATTCCTGAATATTCATTTTAAAAGCAACGCCTATTCGCTCCAGTTGATTCCTCTGAAAAAAATATTAAGAATTTACAGAAGTATTATAAAATCTTATTTTCAATTATCACGCACACCCTTAATTCACTTGTAGTGTAGATAGGCAGCTGAGCACGTGTCGTTTAAAATTTGCAAAGCTTCTATATTGGGGGGGGGGGGGGGGGTTTT